ATTCTATTCTATTCTATTCTATTCTATTCTATTCTATTCTATTCTATTCTATTCTATTCTATTCTATGCAGTTTTATGGGAGATTACTGCTTATAAATTTGTTGAGAAATTCTTCCAGAATGAAGGCAGAGGGGTTTCCTCTCACAGAAGGATCTCGAAATACTCCATTGGGTTCACTTTCCATTGAGTAACAGCATCCGTAATCTAAGCAGGTAGCATCGTTTCTGCCCCCCCCCCACTCCGCCCCCCCTCCCCCCCCATAACTGACTTCCTAACCAACCCTGCATGGATTGCGGCGCTGGACCTCCGGTGCACGGGCGTCTCTAAAGGAAGGAGGCGGGGCGTAGGCCTCTTGCGCCGCCCCTAATTAAATCGAGCACGGAGGAAGTAAAGCGTCTCCTGGTTTCTACGCCGCCAGCCGGTGCCGGCTTTTTCAGACCTCCCTCGCCCCGAGTTCATGGCTCCTGCGTCGCGGATCGCCGACCTTAAGCAAGCGGGCAACGAACAGTTCCGCAATGGGCAATACGGCCAGGCGGCTGCGCTCTACGGCCGAGCTCTGGAATTGCTGGAAGCGGCAGGTACTGGCGTAGAGCGCGAAGCCCCCGCAAGGCCTTGCTGGGTGTCCGGGGCGGGAAGTCCGGAACGAGAGACCTCGGGTTAGGGCTCTGAGGCAGTCGCCTCATTAGAAACCCTTAGAAACCCTTCGATAGGCATTGAAAGGGTTTTTGGGTTTGTTTTTTTTTTAACCTTCAGTCATCGGGTCGCTCCTTGCTTGCTACCGGCTTATTCCCCCAAGTTTTGACTCCATTTACTTCTTTCGTGTTGTAAATGAGTTGTAAGATGGGGGGTGGGAGCGTCCGGCTGGGCTTCAAAGCCACAGCCAGGGGGGGGGGGTTGTTTGTGTGTGTGTGTGTGTGGATGGGGTGGCATGATTTACGTTTACATTTCACATTTAATTTGCAAAATCACGAAGGGCCTTTACGGATTCTCTCAGGAAGATTTCTTGGGTAATGGCTTCATCCATTTCATAGGTGGGCGAAACTGAGGAGGAGAGATTCCCTGGCAGAGATGAGATTTGAATCTCTTGAGAGACAGCAATTGGGTAGGAAAGTGTGTGGGCCACTGTCTTTAATTTTGTCAAGAGACAAGCAGAAGCTTAGAAAGACACACAATTCTGAATTGAAGCTGGGCTTTTTAGAGCTTAATAAACCTGGGCTTAATAAACCTGGGTTTATTATAGAGTAATACTATATTTTGAAACAACTTCCTAGATGAATTCCAATTGATATCAATGCACTTTCTCTTTGGGCTTAAGTCCTGGCCGGACATTTTTTTTTAAAAAAAAAAATTATGTTAGGACTAATATTTTAGATTATAGAATTAGAACCAAGCTTGAGGATCCTGAAGTGTAAATGCACAAAAGAAACCCGCAAAGATGTTTGTGTAAATGCATAAACAAACTCACAAAACCTTGCTAACATAAATGCGGACAGCCAGAATATTTTAAACAGTACCTTATGGCAGAATATAAAAACTCCATCCCATTAGTTTTTATAAAAAAAAAATTATGTTAGTGACTAATATTTTAGATTATAGAACTAAAACCAAGCTTGAGGATCCTGAAGTGTAAATGCACAAAATAAACCCACAAAGATGTTTGTGTAAATGCATAAACAAACCCACAAAACCCTGCTACATAAATGCGGACAGCCAGAATATTTTAAACAGTACCTGATGGCAGAATATAAAAACTCCATCCCATTAGCTGGCTTTGAGCGTTCTGGGCCTTTTTTTTTACCAGCTTCTTAGGTAGATAAGAGGTACTTTATGGTCCTCTGGATTAAAATGGAACAGCATTCTTTCTCTTGCTACATATTCTTGGAATTGCAGCCCGTGGAGTACATAGACCAAATGTGGCAGATTGTGGTGGACATACAAGAAGAACTTTAGGTCTTCATAATTTCCTGGTCTTAAGTTACTGGGAGCCTCTGAGTCCACTTTCATAATAAGCTTTAGACTTATTATGTCAGCAAAGCTATCTGCTGCAGTCACAATGAGAGATTTTTGGCCACTAGCAGAAATGAAAGTTATGTGTGGAGTCAGAAGTTGGATAGCTCTAGTGAAGCACTTTCTGTTTCTGTTCCGTTGTACTGCCCTGAGCCTCAGAGCTTTAATAGGAGCAATTCATTTTTAAGTATTTTCTGGTTATTTCTGTCCCCTGTGTTCCTTATGGACTCTAAGGTGAGGAACAGAAACTTATCTAATTACCTTGTAGCATCAGCCTTGTCACCCTTTCACTTACGCAGTTGTAGCCCATGGCCTTTCCTAAACACAAGAGATAGTGAGTGAGTGACCTTCTAAATAGAAAGCAACATTCTGGAATGATAGAGCATAGTGAAAGCCCTAAGATATGCAGCAGATAAATGAAAGAAATTAGAGAAGACTTAAAAGGTCTTATGTAACATAAGACCATTTTTAAGGAGCATTTCTTTGTCTTTATAAAATGCTAATAATGTATATTCTGAGAAAGAATTTTAAATAAATAGTTATAACATAGTAGTTTGAAAAGCTCACATAAAATTAATTAAAGTATTTCCATAATTTGTTTAGGTATCATATGGTATTTTCTTTGGTAATTATCTTGTATGAATAATGGATACAAAGGTTTACATGCTACCTATTAAAAATAAGGTAAAAAGTTGCTAGCTCTGTCTCTTTCCTTGAATAAATTCTACTTTAAATTGTATACTGTACAAGCATCATTTAGGGACCCAGTGTATATAAAACAGCAAAGGTAACATGTAAGAAAACTTCATTTTTGAATGCGTATATTTATATTTTTTGATATCTGTATTCAATTACAAGGAAATTGACAGACCATATTGGTTATTTAGCCATGTTGATAGGAATATTCAACAGTACTTTGAAAACCATTGATCCATAGAGTTCAGTAGCGTCTATTCCTGCTAATATGATATTTTCTAGTCTTAACTGAGATGCTAACATGATTGGAGATGCTGGTATATCTAAATGCATATAAACTACATTTAAATGATCCTTACCAAAATTATATGTATAAAAAATGAATTTAGCTCAGTCATAGGTCAGCTAGGGAGGACCATTTCAATTTCCAAATAAAAAGACCTTACTGATTACTGGAGTTCTTTCACAAGATAAAAATCTAATATATTCATGATAATATATAATGTGATAGAGAAAATTTTATTACTTATAAGCCACACATTTCCCTTGATTTTTCCCCAATTATGACTTAAGGCTAGGTAGAAATTAGTGGACTCGAAGTTTTATGTAGACAGCAAAAGATATCTCAAAAAGAGGAGATTGTGCCAAACCCAACTGTACCTTATCATAAACAAATGCTGTTCTTGTACCTAGGGCATGTTTGTTATATTTTAATACTTGTCTTTATACATAGGAGATGTGAATACAGAAGAAAAAAGTGTTCTCTATTCCAATCGTGCTGCTTGTTATTTGAAAGATGGGAACTGTAGTCTTTGCATTAAGGATTGTTCTGCGTAAGTAGCTGCTCTCTCAAGAAAAGGAGAATGAGTGCATACATCCCTGTTTTTTTTACTTGGCTATTTAACATTTGAGGTTTTTCATAGTCCTGTTGGGATTGTGAAATAAAGAAAGTAACTAATTCTGCTTGTTCAAAACTGAAAAATTCTCTCCCACATTTAACTTTTCTTCTTTGTAGAGACTACATATAGTTTCTGTGTATCCAGTTGTCAATAGTTTTTTACAGAAGAGGAGAGGAGAGATAGCATCCCTGAGGATTAAATGTATATTCCTTTAACTGACAAACAGTAGGAAAAGTAGGAGAGATTTAAAAAGTGGCTTGCCATGTATCCTTAAGATAGCAGCAGCCATCTTAACTGCTGACTTGGAGTTAGCACTACACTTCTTAGATTTGGGAAATGTAAATATTTAAAAAATGGGAATATCATATTTGTTATTTAGGTACCATCAAGTTGGAAATCATCCCTGATGATTATCTGGATAAATGTCACCTGTCAGTGCCACTGATTGAGTTGAACAGATTTGGCATTCCAATTATTTGATAGGTGATTCAGAAGAAAAAAGTTATTGTCACAAGAGTTGAAAGTTAATATTAAATAAATATTCAGCATTAGTAAAGATAATAAACAGCTATTTCTGAGGTGTAGAGATTTGTAACGGAGTAAGTCTTATATCGCAAGCACAATATTTATATATCATACATCTACAGACTCTAGAAAGAGTGCAGAGAAGAGCAACAAAGATGATTAGGGGACTGGAGGCTAAAACATATGAAGAACGGTTGCAGGAACTGGGTATGTCTAGTTTAATGAAAAGAAGGACAGGGGAGACATGATAGCAGTGTTCCAATATCTCAGGGATTGCCACAAACAAGAGGGAGTGAAGCTATTCTCCAAAGCACCTGAGGGTAGGACAAGAAGCAATGGGTGGAAACTAATCAAGGAGAGAAGCAACTTAGAACTAAGGAGAAATTTCCTGACAGTTAGAACAATTAATCAGTGGAACAATTTGCCTCCAGAAGTTGTGAATGCTCCAACACTGGAAGTTTTTAAGAAGATGTTGGATAACCATTTGTCTGAAGTGGTGTAGGGTTTCCTGCCTAAGCAGGGGGTTGGACTAGAAGACCTCCACGGTCCCTTCCAACTCTGTTATTATATTATATTATTATATTTTTATTTTCTCTTATACCTTGGAAACATTTGTCAGAGACAAGCTCTATAGAAATATTTTATACTCTTCGATAAAATGCTTAAAGCTGTTTGGATAATTCAGCCAAATTTCAAATATTAAATTAGGTGAATTTAAATATTATTTGTATTGATGGTACTTCTATGTATATAATCTTTCCGAAAATTAAAAATGAATATTAACTTTTCTGCTCCCATGAATTGTTTTCTCCTCTGCTGATTAGCGCTCTGGATCTGGTCCCTTTTGGAATCAAACCTTTGTTGAGGCGGGCAGCAGCCTATGAAGCCCTTGAACGATACAATTTAGCTTATGTGGACTACAAAACTGTATTACAGATTGATTGCACTGTACAGGCTGCACATGATGGAGTCAATAGGTAATCCCTTTCTTTGTATCTAATGAGTATACAAAAGTGATTGAATGGTTTGCAAATCTAATGCCATTGAGATGAATTGGACTATACTCCTACAGTCTGTGACTAGCCCATAGTGGCTGGGAGTAATGGGATTTGACATTCAAAATACTTAGCATGAAATTACATAGTCCCTCAGGTCATATAATAGATTACTCTAGCCTCACTTAGGTAAGAAATGCATGCCGTGTATAGAGATGTATAAAATGTTCTGCACGGAAAAGTAATGTTTTGGAACAAAGACTATTATTTATTTATATAATTATTTGGTTTATATTCTGTCCTCCAGGAAGTCGAGGTGACACACTTTATTCCCCCTCCACCAATTTTCCCCCTAGCACATATGAGTTAGAATCCTTTCAGTATTCAGGTTCTTGTCAACAGGTAGTCCATCAGATGTGGAGGACAGGCATAGCATAAAGTTACTCAGCTCTTTCTTGGGAATACTGTACTGAAATAAAGATTCTAGAAATGGCCATAATGACCAAGAAATTATTAATCAGCTACCTGTTTGTTTTAAGTTACTGCCATGAAATTATATATAATGTATATGACCATTGTATGTGACCAATAAAATTTTCTAATTTAAACTTATCAACCAAAATCTTTCTTTGCTTATTTTCTGACAATAGACATACATTTGTTTATCAAAAATTTAAAAAAAATATTGCAACAGATAATATGCATTAAGCTTATAGATAGTTCTCTTCATTTAGAATGACAAAGGCTTTATTGGAAAAAGATGGTCTTCAATGGCGCCAGAAGTTACCCCCCATCCCAACTGTTCCTGTTTCTGCTCAGAGAAGGTGGGAGCCACCTACTGGAAGCCAGGAAGGTACTCCAAGACCCAAAGCAAGCAATTCTGTTCCTGTAACAAACCAAGGTCAGTAGCCTTCTCATTTACTAAGTAGTAAGTGACTAAAGCTTCTTTAGCTCATATATACTTTCCTAAAAGATTTTGTCCAAACAGTCACTTTCATTTTTGTTGTGTTGTGTTTACAGGGAACCACAAATCCATTTTGGAATGGCTGTTGGGAGTGGAGGAAGAGAGAATATTTTGGCTAGAAAATAATTGATAAAAACATGTACAAAAACTTGCTATCAGCACATATCACATCAATAAATAAGCATGTGGTTATTTGTGTTTCTTAAGCTCTGCTAAACAGTAGGAAACATGATTTTTAAAAAGAATAAATGGAGTGGCATGCTATATGAATTGGTTTTAGGAAGAAGAGTGCAAAACCCACTATTCCATGCACTACGGCTTGAAAGTAACTAGAAAAACATTGGGCTTGTTGATAGTTGAAGTATCATATTCTATAGCAGAAATGGTTAATTCCTGAAATCTTAAAATGTTAAGTACTGTCATTCAAAGTCCAAAGCACTCAGAACTGGATTTTCATCCTGATATTTTTCTCTTATAATAATAAATATGGAATGAAATGTTTTCATTTTACTATATAGTTTACTGTTTTTTCTTGAATATGAATTCCAGTGCCTAACGCTGCCTCAAGTGAACGAGCAAATATGCTGAAGCTAGAAGGAAATGAATTTGTGAAAAAGAACAACTATAAGAAAGCTATTGAAAAATATACAGAGAGCATAAAACTCCACAAGATGGAATGCACAACTTACACTAACAGGTAATGCTTATGTAACCAAATGAAAAATAACTTCACTAACTTGACTGTTAAGTAACCAGATAATGCCACTGCCAGAGATGACATTACACGTTAAACCACAGTTTGATAAATTGTATGCAATTTAATAATTCATAAGTATTATTTTAAAAATTAAAATTTTATTCAACTTTAAATGGGTCATAGAAAGGAAATATCCTCAAGATATACGTATTAGCCAGTACCACTATGAGCAGCAGAATGGTGGGTTTCACATATTCTTACCACCAATTTGCCCTGCGCGTGCCTACTTGCTTTGCTCACATGTGTGCCTTCCGTGCATGTGCTTTGCTCACACACGGGCCTTCCACATATGCGCCCAGCCTTGAAAACATGGCTAAATAGAATGGCATTACGCTACCGGTTTGTCCAAACCGGTCCAAACCAGCTGAATACCACTTCTGGAGCAGCATTCTATGCATCTTATATAGTTTGCTGCGATTTTTTGAGTTATTCAAGGATGATTGCTGTTTACATGGTGATACTGGTATTGGTACACGTACTGGTCTTTGAGATTTACACATCCAGTGATGTAATAAATTCCAGTCTGAATTGAAAACAAAAATTACAGCCTCACTAAACTCCACTGAACTTCCACATTACTTTGGATCACCTATTAGAAATAACAAAACATAATTCAGATATGTTAATATGATGAGGAACATGAGAACTTGGAACAGCATCTCCAAACCTTACACCCCAAGGGCAGAGAAAATGGTTTCCTTATATAACAAATATGCAGGTAGTCCTCAGGTTATGACTATATTTGAGACCAGTATCTCGATTATTGAGTGAAGTGGTAATTAAGTGAGACAACCATATGACTGCCTTCCTCAATAACCACAATCCCAGTCCTCCCAGTTGCGATCATTAAGCGATCTCCCAGATCATTATGCAGAGAGACTGAAAGAGCTGCCCACTGGGGACTGCTCTGACAGGCTGCCGGAATGGAGCTCAGATCTTCGGGCTCTGAGCTCTGTTTCTGCACTGCCCTGAAGGAGTTCAGCTCCCTAGTGTGCATGGAAGCAAACTCTTCCAGTGAGTTGCAGGAATGGAGTTTTGATCTGCCAATGTTTTCTGTATGGGTTGTCCTCAGTTTACATCCATTTTTTTTATCATTATGGCAGCACTGAACAAGGGGGAATTACAGTAAGCCCTCAGCCATTGATTGCAGTGCTCCAGTGGTGAAATCCAAATGTTTTTACTACCGGTTCTGTGAGTGTGGCTTGGTGGGCGTGGTGTGGCTTGATGGGCATGGCAGGGGAAGGATACTGCAAAATCTCCGTTCCCACCCCACTCCAGGGGAAGGATACTGCAAAATCCTATTCCCTCCCTACTGCTGGGGGAAGAATATTGCAAAATCTCCATTCCACTCCACTCTGGGGCCAGCCAGAGGTGGTATTTGCTGGTTCTCCGAACTACTCAAAATTTCCGCTACCGGTTCTCCAGAACCTCTGGATTTCACCCCTGCAGTGCTTGATGTTGCAGCCAGCGACATTCCCTGCTGACTTCCCACAAGCAAAATCAACAAAAAAGAGAGTCAGACATTGTAGTCACGTAACATTGCTTAACAACAGCAACCAAAACTGCCGTTGCTAAGTGGTGCAATCACCTATCATTGTGCTTTATCATTGTGTTGCTTAGCTCTGGCAATTCTGGTCCAAATTGTTATCGTAAACCAATGACTGCCTCTTCCATATGCATGTCTACAATGTCGTGATAGCCTGTTCCCTTAATGCAAACATTTCCAGATGTTCTGGATGGTATTTAGTATAAGTGTTTACTTTTAAATAAGGACCGAAATCAAATGGCAAATAGCAAAATTATTTTTCAACTCCATCACATGGAACAAAAAAAAAAAAAAAACCCATGGGAAGATGGAAATGCATCTCATCAGTGTATCTTATTGTATTTTGTAATATGCTTATATAATCTCCATCTCTTACTTTGTTATTATAATTTGAAGCAATAAAATGGATATTTTTGCTGTTTTTAAGCCATCGTAAAGTTGACTGATTGATAGATGTTACAGCTTTGCCTCATGTATGAATCAAAGCACTGTACATAGCAGTGATGGCAAACCTATGGCACGCATGCTGGAATTGGCACACAGAGCCATCTCTTCGGGCACGCCAGCTGTCGCTCGTTGCTTTTCTGGGTCCAGCTGGTCTTCGCCCACGCGGGAGCACCAGAAACAGCAGCTCCCTGGTGCACACGTGCGCTCCAGGAAGCCGAGCTTCCAGTTTCCGGCACGCACATGCGCGCCAGCCAGCTGGTCTTTGCGCACGTATGCATGCCAGAAACCGGAAAACCAGGTGATGGGCGCATGTGCACACTGGAAACCGGAAGCTCAGCTTCCCGACGTGCACATGCGCACTGGGAAACTGCTCTTCCAGTTACCAGTGCTCCCACACATGCGCCCTGGGGAGCTGCTCTTCCGGTTTCTGGCGCTCCTCCGCATGTGCACTCCCCTGTACACCCGCACATGCTCCCGTTTTGGCACCGAGTGCCGAAAAAGTTGGCCAACACTGGCATAGTGTCAGGGACTGGAGATTATTTGTTGGTTTAAAATTATCCTGAAGGCAGAGCACCTTAGTAAATACTCAATTCATGGAAAACACACCTACACGTGATCTTTTTTCCTTCTGTTCTTTATTTTAGAACAGCATTTTCCTGTTCTACTTACATGGCATATATCTGTCTTTCATATATAGGAAAAACATTTTTCCCATTCTCTTCTGAAGGCAGTTTAGGTCTTTAAGTTAAACTTGGCCCATGAAAATGATCTACCTCCCATTTATATTATGTAAGAATACTGAGTTAGAAAATCTGCGAACAGTAGTAATAGTGAAATAGATAGCATTTCGCAAAGGGTGTAATGCAGTGATAAGAATCCTTTTGGTAGAATGCAGTTCCATTTTTATCCTGTGGGGGGCTGTGGGAAAAATACTGGTGATTATTTATTTAATTTCTTTGCCATCTATCCAAGTAAAACACACATTGGTAAAATAGCTCCATTTCTAAGCTAACACAAGAAAAGGATTACATTCAATTATGCAGCATAGCAAACAAAATAAAAAATATATATTATAAGGAATTATATCGTGCTGTAAATAGTGCTGTTCTAAGAGCCAGCATGGTAAGAAGTTAAGGTGTGAAAATAGAAGTAGGGAGATCTAGTTGCTTGCCTCCTTTGGGCATGGAAGTTGGCAGAGTGATTCAATCCTAGAAGTTGAAGAACTGCCTATCAACTGGCACTGGATCAATATGGTAGATTTCATAACCACCAATAAAAAAGCCTTCATCCTGTCGTGGACTAATGTTGGATATTGGCTTTCAAGCTTGGCAACTTTAAGATGTGTGGACTCCACACATCTTAAAATTTCCAATTATGAAAAATGATGATTGATGATGATGATAATAACAACAATGAAAACAAGATCAAAGATTTCAGTTTTTCCATTTCTATTATATTTCCAAAGGGCTTAGTAATATTTTCAAGATGACACTGAAAACTAGATTGAAAGTTCAAAGTTGTTGTGAATAAATGCTACATGGAGGGCATTTGTATATTTGTAAAAAAAAAAAAAAAATTCTGGAGAACTGTTAGCTATAAAAATTGGATTGGCCGGAATATTGCATTCTATCTCTTTCAGTTCATGTCATTTATATGCATGAACAGAAAGAGATATATTGTAGCAATTTTAATAACAAATCTAGAGAAACTGGTCAGGGTATACATAACTGCAGTATCCTCAGTAAGTGCATAGTAACAGTAGATATGTAATGATAGTGACTATACAAATAAATACTGTACTGGTGGTGACAAATAATGCCAAATAATTACATCCATTATAATTTCAGGGATATGGAAACAGATTTGGAGGACAAGCTTTTCAGAAATTGTAGATAACGTTGCAAGATGTATAAAGCCTTTTAACATTTTTAACACATGCATTGTATAGGGAGTATAATTAAAGCCAACATTTGAAAATAAAAATGGAACATTTGCACCAATCAATACCTTGAATCCTAGATTGTTGTAACCAATTTTTTTGAAGATATTTATAGGTTATTTTCTATATTTCAGGGCTCTTTGTTACCTGAACCTGAAGCAGTACAAAGAAGCAATTATGGATTGCTCAGAAGCCCTTAAAATAGATCCTAAGAATGTCAAGGCATTTTACAGACGAGCACAAGCATATAAAGAGCTTAAGGTAAATAACTTTTTTTTAGTTTTAGGTAAGTGCACACACAGTCAATATAGGACATTTAGATTTATCAGTAAGGAAATAATCCATTGTGTTCTCTTAAGATTTTCAGGAGATAATATTCTTTACAATGTAGATAATTTTAACTGCATTGCATTTAAAGAACCATCTTGCAAATTTGGAACTATTGGAGCTGCATATCATATTTTTTGGGGGGATTTTGTGGTTTCTTCTGTGTAAGTTAAAAAGACAACTCCAAACAATTCTTTCTTTGCTTATAAAAGTGGACAGTACATACAGGGGCAGGTATTGTCTACAGTTAGAACAGTATGGCTGCAACAAAATAAAGTATTTTAATCCCTTAAAAATACATTAAAGGTATTTTTCTCAGAATTTTAATTGTTTCTGTTTCTCTAGGATTATAAATCCAGCAAAGCAGATATCAACAGCCTCTTGAAAATTGAACCAGACAACAATGCTGCTAAGAAGCTACAACAAGAACTAAACAAGCTTTTAAAATAAGATAGCTAGAACTTTGTGCTTTTCTGATATGTTTTTGTTTTTTAAAAGAGATTACTGGGATGCGTTTGCAAAATCCTAGGCCTGCTGATGTTTCTCTGGTTCCTTCCCTTATAAAAAGTGTCCATTCTTCCTCCTGCAGTTCTAAAAATTCTGTGTTATCTCTTGAGATCTGCAAATTATATAGAAGAGGAATTCTAGAGAATTGTTTTTAATTAGCACACTATTTGTCCAATGTACTCCTAGTGTGATTGCAGAGACAGAACTATTATAGTGGCTGATTGATGAAAGTCTTGGCATAACAAACAGGCAGTAAGACTTTCAAGATCCTGCTTTGCCTTAATTTTTGTGGACTAGCTTTGGTGGAGCATTTTGGTCTTCAATGTGTCATTTGGAAATCTAAAAATGCTTTTGTCCTTTACTATAGAATGGCATGTTGTCCTTTCTTCATTCTATCTATACCTTTTAGCTTACCTTAATTTCACATTCTCTGAAGTTAAATACATGTTGAAATATGTTACTCTTTTTTCAGAGATATTTTTTCATTTTAACCTTGTTAAAAGCTAAAGTTCATGTTATAGTGGAGGAGGGAAAATATTATCAGTTTAGAATGGCCCAATCTCAGGGCTGCTTTTGCTTTTGCTTTTGCATCTGTTTTCAGTTGCTTATCTACAACCTAGATTTTTGCAAACCAAAAAAAAAAAGTGCCCTCAGAATGATAATTCAACAAACATCTCTGTAGAGAGGAATGAGTCATGTATGTTGTATCTCTCACATTGGCCGAGTTTAGATGGGTCTGTTGGGCAGTTGTAATTTGGCAACATCTAGGTGACTACACATTTTCCTTTCCTGCTAGAGATAGAGTAGAATTGAACATCCACTTGCTATTTGGTAAAAATGCTATCCAAGATTAACCACTATGTCACCTTAAAAAATTCCTTACTTCTTCTTCAGTACCTATACAGATGTTGCTACTCAAATTATGCTATCTCTGCAGCTTTTCCAAGGTGAGTCTGTAGGGACCCACTTAGAGCATTACTACTTCTTGTCTTAGTGAGAGAAGAGTTTTGCCTCTTCCTACAGAGTAGAGATTTACGCACCAAGCATTTTGAGAAGATACGTTTTCAATGTACTGTGGAGTATCATTTGTTCCTAGAAATTTTAGATAGAGGGGAAAGTCTTTCCTTGAGCCTTGTTGCCAGGATTAAAGCTTGTTGCTTACAGTATCAAGTTACCTTGTTATTTTAAACTTTCAAAATAAACAAGCTGTTACGGATATAAATTCAGAATATTCCAAATCTCTTCTTTTGTGTGTGTGTGTGTTACAATACTGGGCATCTCTTCTTTTTGAAGGAAACTTATCCTAATTTCATCCCTACATTATCATTGTGTTATTTTATTCCCAAGGGGGGAAGGATTTACACCAGGAATGCATGTAGCATCTATACCTGCCAAGCAATACTATCCGCTAAAAATAAATGTAAACCCACTAACATTTTATAATCTGTGGAAGTTTCCAGCTTGTGGGAGATGGGATGGGATAGTTGATCCACCTTTTCTTTGAGATATCGTCCTAAAAAAATTTCAACCAATCTTCCTCCCCCTTTTTTTGGAAAGGTGGAGAAATTGATTAGGCTGCAGCTTCAATGGGCCTTGGAGAAAGTAAATTATTGGTTTTAGTATAGCACTGACATGGAATTAGTTATCCTGGTCGGTCTAGAGATGACAGTGCATCTATCCTGGCCCTTCTTGACTGGCTTTGAATAGCAGGGCATTGTTTAAATAAAAATCAGTATATTAAGGCAGATGGAACATCAGAGAAAAGAGCCATTACTTGAATAGCATAAATGAATGCCTAGATGAATACCCAATTTCCAGACAGGGTCTTTACTCATCCCTCCCTCTTTTGGAGCCAACTGGAACTGGATTACATACATCTCCAAACTAAGTGCAAGCATAGGCCCAAATGGTAATATTAAATGTAATTCCGGTAATATGAATGATGGTACCATACTTACCAGGAAAATAAAAGTTTATAGTGAGTCTGATTTGTGGCATATAGTATGCCACTAAAGAGAGCATTATCTTGCATATTTATAAAACCCCAATTTCCTTTTTTGGTCACCCTCAACTCACAAGTCAGTCAAGATATCCTTCTAAACCAGCTCCTGGATTAGAAGGCTCTGCTCAGAGTCACTCATCTGGATTAACAGACCATGCTCTAGATGGGCTTCCTTGAAGGCGATTCAGAAGCTACCTGTGATCCAGAATTCAGCAGTTATGGGTGCACCTTACTACACACATCTAATACCATCCCTGCATAAATTGCAGTGATTACTGGCATACTTCTATTGAGTAGGTTACTGTGTACAAAGCCCCTTTATGGCACAGGCTAGGATATTTGAAGAATTGTCTATCTCCATTTCTCTGCTCATCCAAGAATATTAGAAAGGTTTGGCATATTCCAGGTTGCATCTACTTAACAGTGCCAGCATGAACTATTGTGGTTTCTATTAAATAGAACAGTCTTCTATTTAAGATTGTTCTAAGTCTTAAGAACAGTTCTTAAAAACACTCAGAGATCCAGATGGTTCCAACACTGCCAGATTTCAGAAAAGCTTTCCCAAAACCTAGACTTCCCACAGTCGGCAGGTCAGGATGGCCCATGAGCCATCAGTGTGTTAATATAGGCAGTCCTCAGATTCAAAGTTACAACAGCATGAATGCCAGGTCCTTGGAGTTCTGGCCACCACAGTGAGTTGCAGTTCTAATGTCAACATTTCTGATATTTCCTGACAGCTTCCACAAGCAAAAGTCAGTAGGGAAGCCAGCAGGAAGTCAGAACCATGTGAGGTCCTCACTTAAGGAGCTATATGGTTGTCACTAAACAATGGCAACGAGGCCTGCCAAAACTGACATTGCTAAGCGATGATGGTTGATGATAATCACACTTAGCAACAGCAATTTCAGTTCTGGTAAATTTTGATGCGACAGATCTGTGTGCTTTTTAATGGTATTTTTCCTCTTGGATTTTTATTAGTTATATTCCTTTGCTGATTTCAAAGTTGCTAGTGGCCAGAATTACTTGCAAGCTGACAGTCATATAAACTGAATAAAATAAATACAAAAATAAGCATTTGGAGAGTTTTGAATCTACCCACACACACACAAAAATAGTTGTTTCTGCCGTTTCTACAGTAAATGTGAAGAGTAGCATCTAGAAAAGGAGACAAAGGTTGGTGAAGTTTCAGCTGTTTTATCAAGTCAGCAGCAGGAATAAATAAAATACCGTTACAGGCTCTCAAGCTTAAGGTTACCCAAAAAGAACCAGGACTGAAAAATAAATTTACAAAAAACAACATAAGAGAATTATTACGTTCCATTTTCATCTTCCTACTGCATCATTATCATATATACCAGGATCACACACAGGAAAAGTTACTATAATAGTTATTCAGTGCAAAAAAGAAAACAATTCAAATCAGGCTAGATTTTTGCAAGAACAACTAGTTTAAAGAGATATTCATAAAATCTCTGGTAACGTGAAGGTTTTGTCCTCTCTTCAGTGGGGATTGTCCATTTTCTTTTTTTCCTGCAACGACACATTTCAATTTTAATTGGGGAAGCCAAGCCTAATTTTTTTTAACAAAATGCTGCTAGTTAACAGGTTTTCAAGTGTTTTTTTTTTAGCTTCACAGCCTCAGCAGCAACTTTTTAAATCAATATTTTTTTTCATTTCAATGTGAAAGTGAGCCTTTGTGAGGTATCCGATACCTCAATTGTAAATTAGACCTGCCCTCCCAGATGAGCCTTCCTGCAGTCTTCATGCACTTTAAATCTATTATACCATCAACATTCATTTCTGCTAAAGCTGTGTTTCTCAGTCTTTAACTTTAAAACATGTGGACATCAGCTCCTAGAAATTATGGGCGTTGAAGTCCATGCGTTTTAAAATTGTAGAGGTTGACAAAACACCATGCTAAGACATTCTGTGCAATGGAAAGTAATGCTTATAAGAGGGGAAGGGGAAGGCAGCCCAAACAGAATATTGACTTTGTAAAAATCACAGACACTGTTGAAATGGAAAGCTAGGCTCAACAGGTAATGCTCACTCAGCGCACCTTCCGTCAGGGGAGAAATGCCATTGAACTGCTCTTGTGGGTTGCTTCAGAGATCTGATGGGCTTGAAGCACAGCTACTGCTTCCTCGATCTAACAAAGTCAAAGCCAAAGACAAGATTGGAGTTTAGAACAGTCATTTGCAGAGTTTGAAATATCATTGTTTCTGCATCCAAAGAATCCAACACACAGTCAGGGCAAAGCCTTTAAAAGGAAGCTCCACTTGAATTTTGCTGGTACAGTAGCTCATGCTTCTCCAGAGCCCTACTGATGCTTTGAGATTAGCAGCCCCAGAATTCATTGGCTCCACTTCCAATTGTCTTGAAAGACTCCCAAGTTGGAGAAGACTATAATAACACCCTGAGACAACTTTTTCGCTACTTTGGTGAAATGGCCCCTGTTTAACAGATCTGGGAAGTTGTCTTTATAATCCAGTTCATCTGTTTACTTGTGGGCTCTCTCTCTACTTGGCACTGAGCCCACCTTCACAAGCCTTCTGATAAACAATCTTGCTATAAAATATTTGAAAAGGGGCTAATTAAGAACAATGCCACCCAAAGCCACTTAATTATTTCCCATTCAAATTCAATGTTTTTTTTAATCCGCACTTGAGCTTTTAAGATACATGATGAAACTCTTTCATGCTAATGAAGATGCAGGAGAGGAAGAAAACAGATGTGACTTGGTACAGAGATAAAGCAGCCCAAGTACTTTTATTAACTAAAAACTGTTCTTGAAAACAGTGGTAGGTTAAGACCAGACCATGAATTAAATTACTCTACAGCAGGGGTGAAATCCAGCAAGTTCTGACAGGTTATGGAGAATCGGTAGTGGAAATTTTGAGTAGTTCGGAGAACCAGCAAATACCACCTCTGGCTGGCCCCAGAGTGGGATGGGAATGGAGATTTTGCAATATTCTTCCCCCAGCAGTAGGGAGGGAATGGGATTTTGCAGTATCCTTCCCCCTGGAGTGGGGTGGGAATGGAGATTTTGCAGTATCCTTCCCCTGCCACACCCAAGCCACGCCCACCAACCCACACCACACCCACCAAGCCATGCCCACAGAACTGGTTAGTAAAAAAATTTGGATTTCACCACTGCTCTACAGGTAAGTCCTCAATTTACAGCCATTCATTTAGTGAGCGGTTGAAATTGTAAAGGCACTGAAAGAAGCAACTTATGACCAGTCTTCACACTTAAAATCACTGCAATATCCCCATGATCGTGTGATCAAAATTTGGGTAGTTCGCAACTGGAATGGGCAGGGGTGAAATCCAGCAGGTTCTGAGGGGTTCTGGAGAACCGGTAGTGGAAATTTTGAGTAGTTCGGAGAACTATACCAAATACCACCTCTGGTTGGCCCCAGAGTGGGGTGGAAATGGAGATTTTGCAATATCCTTCCCCCAGGAGTGGAGAGGGAATGAGGATTTTGCAGTATCCTTCCCCTGGAGTGGGGTGGGAATGGAGATTTTGCAGTATCCTTCCTCTGCCATACCCACCAAGCCATGCCCACCAAGCCACGCCCACAGAACCGGTAGTAAAAAAATTTGGATTTCACCACTGATCATGGGGTCACTATCTGTAACCTTCCCAGCTGGCTTTGGACAAGCAAAGTCAATGGGGAAGCCAGATTTACTTAACAACCCTATGATTCACTTAAAAACTGCAGTGATTCACAACTGTGGCAAAAAAAATCACAACATGGGACACAACTCACTTAAACCCCCCTTGCTTAGCAATGGGAATTTTGGGCTCAATTGTGGCTGTAAATCAAGGATTACTTGTAGTCAATCTGTCCTTCTAGGATCAAACCTGCTTCAATAGAAGTACATGAATATACAGTAGATATATAACAGAGAGGCTATAAAAACAAACACCTTGAAGAATACATTCTTACAAGTTTAAATGTTATTTTAAATGCAATCCTTCCCAACCTTTTGCATCACTCCCATTATATCTGCTCAAGATTTTCTTTCTTATTACAGTTCCTTCACACCACTTTTTAAAAACAAAACTAGCATTTTCACAATCTATCATGCTTTTCTTCTGACCACAGTTCTGATCGTTCTTAGAACTTATCATATTCATAGTAGCACTCCCATATCATGCTAAAATAGATCAGGCCAGTAATGAATACATTACTAGTATATGCAACTGCTAGATTTCCAAATCAGAAATTTGATAGTTAGCTTGGGGATCAACCACCAGTGAGTGCTATTTTGATAATGTCATCCTTTCCAGAGGCATCTAGTTGGCCATTACAGGAGGCAGAACAAGGGACTAGGTGAACGTTCGCTATCACTCTTCCAGTATCCGTATGCTCATAAGGTTGAAACAGGAGTAAAGGTATGTAGGAGTGAATACTGTACAGTTAATATCTCTAGGCCCGTGATGGCGAACCTATGGTACGTGTGCCACAGGTGGCACATGGAGCCATATCTGTGGGGACACGAGCCTTGCCCTAGCTCAGCTCCAGCGCGCATGCATGCACTGGCCAGCTGATTTTTGGGCCTTCCGGGCCTACCAGAAGTTGGGAAACAGGCCGTTTCCAGCCTCTGGAAGGCCTTCAGGGGTGGGGAAGGCTGTTTTCGCCCTCCCCAGGCTCCAAGAAAGCCTCTGGAGCCTGGGGAGAGTGAAAAACGGGCCTACCAGGCCCACTGGTAACCTTTTTGCTGTCGCGTGCCAAAAGGGGGAGCGCGGGGGGGGGGTCGTGCATGCATGCGGGGAGGTGGGGCATGGGGGGCATTGAATTATGAAATTTGGTGGGTTATGCAAAATGTTTTGAGGAAAAAACTTCAGTTTTCTCCACAACTGTTTTTATTGGGTATAGTTAAGGGTTTTACATTGGGTGAAACAAAGCTGATACTGTATATGGTGACAGCAGCGAGATTATTGATAGGTCAATATTGGAAAAATGATGCTTTGCCCACTATTGAAGAATGGACTTTGAAGATGGCCAGTTTTGCAGAGATGGCGAAGATTTCAGCATATTTAAAAGACCAAACTCAAGAGACTTATGTATGGGAGTGGAAAAAGTAGATAGACTATGTGCAGAATAAATATCAAACTAGGAAATATCAGATAGCTTTTAGCTGAATGAATGTATTATGTAGGGATAGATTGAGTTTTATGAAGGTATAAATGGTATATAGGGGGGGGAGGGGTTTAAGTTTCATAAAATGTATTTTTGATTAGGATTTTATTTTGTGGAAGTCCTGGGGGGAAAAGGGGAGGGTTAGGGAGGGTTTGGGGGAGGGGGAAACTGGGGAGAAAATGTATTTGTAAAACTTTTCAAATAAAAAAAAAAAGAATTATGAGTGTGGGCAGATGCATGCATGACCCCCACCACGCTCTTCCCGCTTTTGGCACACAACGGCAAAAAGGTTAGCCATCACTACTCTAGGCTGTTGGTCTCTGTTCTTCCCTCGTGCTATCATTATAATGGATCACCATTGAAAAGCTAAACCAGATATGCATTGGTGGATCTATACAACACTTAAAGGACAATTACATAACCCCAGTTATGTACAGTAGCACAAGGAATAATATAAAAGAACAAAGCAGGTGGAAAATCAGTCTGCTTAGGAAAAACTGAACTGAAAGAAAAAACAGCCATGGAGATGCTATTGAGACAAATTTAACCATGCAGACCCACCTAACACAAAGCAGGACAGTTCATTTCATCTGAAAAATTTGGAATGGCAGAATTAGGGCATTTTAAAGCATGGAATCCCAGTACCTTAGAGTGAAGGGATTCTGGTGACTCCAGCATAAGTAGCAGGTCAGAATTATCTATCTCCAACAGCATGCCTGTAATCTTCCCAGCCAGGGTGGGGTGCCTTGCATGAATTAGAGGATAGAGACGTTCACCTATGCACAGCAAAAAAAAAAAAAAGAATAAAAAAAGGAAGTACTGGGAAACCTGAATTTATCTTGTGTTTTATGAAGTCCCCCAGCAAGTTCTATTTCAGCACTTAACCTTCATCCAGCCGACCAACAGAAGACTATGAGGTCTGAGAAGTTTCCTACAATCTTTGAAATAGCTAATATATCGTGATCATTGTCAGGTACTGTGGAAAACTTTAAATGGCAAATTCTTAGCTAGCCATCACCATTGCTAGAGAACTCATATCTGAAAAGTAGGTTCATTAGCAAGGGAAGTAACAACCTCAGATGGACCACCATTGCCTCAGACCTAGACTTGTCAATGATGTTCTGTCTTTAAGCTGTTAGGTAAAACTGAGCTGGCAGATTTCATCCTCCGCTGCAACCCATGTGCTCTCCATAGCCACCACAGTTAGAAGATGATACACAGATAATGCAGACAACCCAACTGGCTGTCTGGTGTAGTGGCTAAAGTACTGGACTACAAAACAGGAGACTGAATTCCAGGCCTACTTTAGGCCTGAAAGTTGAGCTGGCTGGTTGTCTTTGGGTCTCTCATTCTCTCTCAGTCCAACACACGTCACAGGGTTGTTGTTGTGGGGGAAAATAGAAGGTAAGAGTATTATGTATACTGTCTTAAGATGAACAAATAAAAAGGATATAAATCTAATGCTATTTTTAAAAATCTTTGAAGACTACACCGAGTAGGTATTTTTCTCATATCATACTTCTTTAAGCAATACTTATTTGTTACTTTTCTGGATCTCTATCTCTGCATCAAGGCCTAATGTTGCTCATTAGATGTTTTAGACCAAGGATGTCAAACTGGCGGCCCGTGGGCCGGATGCATCATGCGCAGGCCACGCCCACCTCGGCTTCACAAGGGGGAAAAAATGTTGTGATATGTCATGTGACATAACGTGACACAATCAAGTTTGACACCCATGTTTTAGGCCATGGGTGTCCATCCTTTTGGCTTGCCTGGCCGTATTGAGTGAAGAGGAATTGTCTTGGGCCACATATAAAATACATAATATAGTTATATCACATAATAATAATAATAATAATAATAATATATATAACTCACATAATAATGTAAAAGTTTACAATCTTTTAGTACTGGGGCCACAGTACTAACTATTCACGCTATATGTGGCCCATGGGCCCTGAGTTGGACATGCCTGTTTAGGCTGAATAGTAAGGAAGTACATGGGCAAGTACATTCAGGAACTTGCTATAGAAACTAGATTATTTAAATTGGGTAAAATAAAATAAAATAAAAAATAATAAAATAACTTGGTGTATCACTTATCAGCATTGGATGTTAGTGTTATGGTTATCACAGAGACAATAGCACAAAATGTGACAGCATTTATTGTCCTACTGCCACCCATAAAAATGTGCAGATAAATTTCCCAGTTTCCCCCCCCCCAGTCAGAAGATTATTGAAGTTAATTGCAAAGTTCACAAATATCAATTTGATAGGCAATTTATTCAAAGGGGGTACAAGATGAAGAAGGAAAACTTTAGATATATTCAGAGTTAAATCTGCCTGATTTTTTTAATCCCAAATCTCTTGAAAAATTCTGGAAATATTTGGAAAACCCTTCTTCAGACCAGCGTAAATATCACTGGACTCATTTGGAAATCAAATCCTTCCTTATTTCACTTTTAATAAGAGATAGTTGGGAGTTACTTTTTATGACTCATGTTTACCATCATTAAATGTTTTGGTGGATAAGATCTCGCAAAGATTCCTTCACAATCAGAGATGAGAAAATGACAAGTACTGTAGTAACTACTGCTAATTGCTGCCTGAGCTATTCAGAAATGTGTCACTTCTAATCAAAAAAGTTACACTGATCATTCTTTTACATACTAAATAACTAGACCAGCCTTTTCCAGCTTGGTGCCCTCCATCTATACGAGGACTTCTGGGAACTGAAGTCCCAACACATCTGGAAGTTGCCAAGTTGGGAAAGACTGAGGTAGACCAATTCTTCAAAAATGTAAATCAGAAAGACAGAAAAAGTGATAATCACTTAGGTGCACACATATCTTGCATTAACAGATATTGCATTCTTTTGTTTTTATAAATATCTGTAATAAGTAATATTTGGATATAGATTTCATTTCTCACAGTGCTTTGTGTGCATTAGCTATAGGTACTCTGATCTGCAAACTGCCAGGCTGTTGTTATTCCCTTAGCCCACATATTCTAGATCAGGGCTGTCAAACTCCTGGCCCATGGGCCAGATGCGTCGCATGTTGGCTACGCCCACTCCCGGTTTAGCAAAGGGGAAAAAAGTCTCGATATGTCATGTGACGCTGCCGTGACGACGTGAGATTGACACCCCTGTTCTAGATTGTTTGGGAGAGGGGTGTTATAAAGTCACTCACCGCACATTTTTGGAAGACATGTGATTCTAATAAGATTCTAACCAAGGACTTCTTGATTTATCATATGGTTTCTTACATTCTATGATTAACCAGCCAACTCCTTGTTTTTGCTGTCCTATTACCACCTCTTAGGTAGGAATAACTAGATGACCTAGGCTGATCTCAAAAAACTAAGTAGACTTCATCCTGATTAAAGTCAGATAGGTAGGCTCTAAGAAGTGTTTAGGCTGTAGGCTACATTGAGTAGATGACAAAAGCACCCCAAAAGACAACTTCTTCACTGTTACCAAAAAAACTCTACATAGACTGCCCATAAAAGGCATTACAAATTGAAGTTAGTTGCAGTAAGCTTTATCATTTGTTTATCAGGTGATTTAAACTGGAAAACTCAAGATTTCACCAAGGTAATACTTCTCCCTCTTTTCTTTTCAGTACTCGCTGTAACAATTTCATCCCTTTTGCCTGCTTTATTCTAAACCTATAAAGTGGACATGGGTGACATTGAACTAAGTCATGAAGCTAGATTTTCCCCTGAGACTATTTCTTGCATCTGTATTGTCCAGAAGCATTGGGGCAGAGGAGCAAAGCAACAAAGACTGACTCCAAGACTCAGTGTGGTGGCCAGAAACATACAATACAGGGCGAGACTAAAAAACTAAGCCTCTGAAGATAACTGGATAATAATCCTCATCTCTTGCAATAGAAAAGAAGTTGCATCCTATCAGCCAAAAGATGCATCTCTTCCAGTCTTTTTACAATTTGATTTATTCTGGTTTATTCCTATACAAGTACATATCTCTACAAGAGTTGTAGAGCATTCATCTAAGAAACTAACCTTCTAAAATACTGCATATGCTATTAATTTGTTAATATATGCCTTTTCAACAGTTTCCCTGAGATTTGGAAGCTACCCACTGTATTGGGCTTTAGGAGAACTGTAAAGACCTGGCTCTGGGCTAGGATAGAAATGGGCTCAGCAAATGTAAGAGCATGGAAAGTTATGTGATGTTGCAGCACTGTGTATATGAAGTTAAATATTTCATTTATTCTGCTTTTATTTAATGTTGTTGTGAGTTGCCTAGAATTATCTTGTATCAGAAGGCAGCCATGTGTGAATTTCTAAACAAATAATTAAAAGCTTTAGATAATTTGTAGAAAACATTATGACAGATTTTAGGACTAGTATAATACAGAGAGTCATTGCTTAATAATCATTCATTTAGTGACCTTGATGGCATTGAATGAGTTTTAGGATTGGTCCTCATAGTTGCAGCCATTGCAACATCTCTGCAGTCAGAATCAGAATACAGCTGGAAGGGACCTTGGAGGTCTTCTAGTCCAGCCCCCTGCTCAAGCAGGAGACCCTATACCATTTCAGACAAGTGACTCTCCAGTGACTTCTTAAAAATCTCTAGTGATGAAGCACCTACAACTTCTGAAGACAAGCTGTTCCACTGGTTAATTGTCCTCACTCTTAGGAAGTTTCTCCTTAATTCCAGGTTGATTCTCTCCTTGATTAGCTTCCATCTATTGTTTCTTGTTTTGCCCTCTGGTGCTTTGGAAAATAAATTGACCCCCTCCTCTTTGTGGCAGCCTCTCAAATACTGGAATACTCTATATCTCTGATGGTGAACCTATGGCACGTGTGCCCAAAGCGGCATGTGAAGCCATGTCACCCGGCACGTGCGGCCTTGCCTGTTTGCCTTCCAGGTTTCTGGCACGCATGCACGCGCAACAATCAGCTGTCCTTTGCATGCATGGCAGTGCCAAAAACCAGTGTGTGCATGTACCAGCTGATTGTCAGGTGCGCATGCATGCCAGAACCCAGAAGTTTGGCTTTTCCGGAGCACGATCCCTTCATGTACGCGGCAGTGCCAAAAACTAGCCTGCGCATGTGCGCCAGCCAGCTGATCAGCGGGCGCCCATATGTACTACAACCCAGAAGTTTGGCTTTTCCGGAGCACAGCCCCAATGAGCACACGTGTGCGCGCAACATTTCCGCACAACCTTTTCGGCACTCAGTGCCGAAAAGTTTGACATCACTGCTCTATATAGACTGCCCATGACCCCCCCCCAGTCCTTCTTTTCTCTAGACTAGCCAAATCCAAATTCTGTAGCTGTTCTTCATATGTTTTAGTCTCCAGACCTTTAATCATCTTAGTTGCTCTTCTTTGCACTTTTTCCAAAGTTTCAACATCTTTTTTGTAATGTAACAAAAACTGGATGCAGTATTCCAGGTGTGGCCTTCCTAAGGCTTTATAAAGCGGTACTAATACTTCATGTGATTTTGATTCTATGCCTCTGTTTATACAACCAAGGATTGTATTAGCTTTTTTGGCTGCTGTTGCACACTGAGTGTCAGAGTCAGGTGATTGCAATTCAAGCATTTGCAACTGGCATGCAATTACAATGGTTGTGGTATTCCACGGCCACATGGTCTCCGTTTGCAATCTTCACAATCGACTTCTGACAAGGATAGTCAATGGGGAAGATAGCAGGAAGTCACAAATGGTGATCACATGACATTGCACTTAACAATCAGGAAGGATTTTGTTAATTTCAGCAACCAGAACTGCAGTCATAAGTTGGTGCAGTCACATGACATCACATTTTACAACCACATTGCTTAGCAATAGAGTTTTCAGTCCCAATTACTGCCGTTACAAGTAGTATATGTACGTCCATTGACAAGAAACAATAGATGGAAACTAACCAAAGAGAGAAGCAACCTGGAATTAAGGAGAAGCTTCCTAACAGTGAGAACAATTAACCAGTGGAACAGCTTGCCTTCAGAAGTTGTGGGTGCTTCATCACTGGAGGTTTTTAAGAAGAGATTGGACAGCCGTTTGCCTGAAATGGTATAGGGCAGTGATGGCTAACCTTTTCTGGACCGAGTGCCCAAAATGGACCCGCGCAAATGCACAAGCACGTGCCCGAACCACCAAATGCAATGCACACACTGGCCCATGCATGCACCCCCGTGCATGCATATGCACCCCCATGTGCACCCTGCTCCCATGCATGCGCCCTCTGCACGCATGCCCCCACACACACTCTATGCATGCACACACGGCCCTCAGCGCACACCGTGTCCCCGCATATGCATGGCAGAAACCCGACGACCAGTTGGCTGGTGGGAAGCGCATGCGCATGCGTGGCAGTGCTGAACTGGGGTGACAGCTCATGTGCCCACAGACAGGGTGGTGAGTGCCACCTATGGCATGCATGCCATAGGTTCGCCGTCACGGGTATAGGGCTCCTCCTTGATCAAGGGATTGGAATAGAAAATCTCCAGCTCTATTCTGATTGAATGAAGTACATCTTTTTTTTTAGGAAACATTGTTTTCTAAGCTGAACTATGGTAAGCATAAAATATTTGATTACAACTTTTTCTATGAGAAAGTCCTGGCTGAGGGGGGAAGTTCACAGTGCTGCTTACTAGAAGATACACACACCACTCACCAAGTATTTGTTTCTGTTCTTGAGGAGGAGCTGCAGCCAGCATGGATGTGGTCAAAGGCTCCTGTCCATGGATATGAATGATTGGTTCTACAGCCTAAAGCCCAAGAAACAAAATATACTGAGAAGAGCCCTTCCATTTCTATCGAACAACTAATATCAACTGATGACTCTCTGTGAAGTATGCATTGGTTAGAGCTTTGCTTCTCTTTGCAAACTCATATGACAGCTTTAATATAAGCATCTGTCCAACTCAAATCTTACCAGAAAATTGAAGAAACAACAGAGAACCTTTGATTTCTGTACACTATGCAATAATCAATATATATCTTAAGTTAACTTAAAAGATGGAATGTTGTTGTATAATATCTCCTTTTCATACAGAAAGCCATAGATCTAAACCTCAATTTCTGAAAGCGGAGTTGTCTTAAAGAATGGAAAGCTGCTGTCAATCATTGTAGCCCAAAGATCCCCACTATGTTCTGACCACTGGACAAATACAGAAAGTATCTTGCAGCGTCCTCTCAATCCTATATTTGTATTCTTTTTAATCAAGGTATGTTTTTGTGTAATCAAATACAGAAGAGAACAATCTTGTATGTTGGGTGTAATAATAGCACAATAATCAGGAGTGTAGTGCTCTCCATTTCCATCTAGAGAGAAACACAGGAAAGGAATGTTATTGGTAATCTGGTCACCTCATCTGATCAACCAAGAGTGCAAACATGAACTGGTTAATGATCTGACTCATTGGTTTCTCTGTGATTGAGTTCTCACTGATATCCAACCATTCCCAAATCAGAATTCCAGCTCTACATATCTCTGCTACAATTTGCCAAATTCAGTAACTCAACAATAACCCATCTAAGAGCAGTTAGGTTCTGCATCTAAGTGTGTATTTTAACTGCAGAATGGAAGAGGAAGAGACCTGTTGCATTGGCAGAGATGTTACTGCGCCCAAAGGGTGGACATTCCTCACAGCTGAAGAATACTTGTACTGCGAGACACCACGTGAGAAAGTTGGAGAAGAGGATGCTCTCGCACTAATGGTCTGGGTTCCAATGTTGACTGGAATGAAACCAGAAATATTTTGAAGGAAGGCTTTAATTGTTCCACAATATTACATGTTTATTTTTATTTTAAAAAAACTTTTAAAACAGCACAGTTCTACATTGCACCCAAACCTGGGAACATACAGATCTGTAATAACCTTGCCAGATTTCACATGCATGATACATGGTACAAAAGTAAAAAGATATCCCCCAATGACACTCCGGGAAGAAAGATTACATCAGACATAAACTCTTGGTGAGCCTTTTGTCCAGAGCAGGCTCCCAAGAAGTAACATTTTCACCAGTCTGCTGTCCATACATTTAACCCAACTAAACCATAAATTTAGTTTCTTGGGTTACACTTAATATTAAAAGCCATAATGCGTCTTAATTGTTTTAGCTTTGTGTAAACCCATTCCTTTTGGCTAACACTCATGGGCTTGCTCAGTAAGCCAAAACAAATTTAATTTAGATTTAAATTATTTTTCATTTAAGCTTTAGCATTACATGGTACTGTATTCTCAGATTATATTTTCCAATCATACAGCAACAGACTTCCAAAACTTAGGTTTTAGGTTAAGAAATAAGGAGCATGTTGTAGAATTCATTGAGCAAACTTTCAAGTTCACTTTCCTCCTTGTTTCCGGTCAGTGATTCAAAAATCAAGGCAAACCCATTCCCTTGAGAGATATAAGTTGCATTCATCTGGACGATGTACTAGCAAAGGCCCCAAACCTACCCACTCTCTGGCCAGTGGATGGTACTCTGGGAACTTGAGTGGAGGCTTGTCTCATAGTGCTGATGTTGGAGAGGAGGCGGCGAGGGGGTCCATTTGGTCTTACCATTGGAGTAGCTGGATGATAGGATGCTAACAACAATTAAATACCTTCAGTCAGAAACCTTATTTATGGATGAGATCATAGCAGTAGTTAATACCAGAATTCTGGTTTGTTCTCATTACTGAGTTTACAATTAAGACTACCAGCCATGCACACCACCCCATAATATTTGAACCATAGTTTGGTTGCTATTTTAAGAACATTTCTTAGTCCTCCTACCCCAGAGGTCTTCAATCTTGGCAGCTTTAAGACTTGTGAACTTCAACTCCCAGAATTCTCCAGCCAGCATAGCTTTTTGGGTGTTGAATTCTGGGAGTTGAAGTCCACAAGTCTTAAAGCTGCCAAGTTTGAAGACCTCTGTCCTACACCATGACATTAAAGGAAGAACTTCAAGCATGGGCAACCTCATTTCCTTACATTCACAGATGTATTTTCTGGATAATAACATTTCAACTCACAAGGAGGTCTGGAGGACTGAGTGTTCCAGCGAGGGGCTGGGCGGACCGGGGCAACTGGGCTAGGACTGTAGAAAGTAGCTCTAGTTTGTGGCTGAGAAGAAAGAAGAGAAGGTGGCATGACAATGTATATAAACTAACAAGGTATTTATTTTTGACCTCATTAACATTTTGAAACATACGAAGGAACCAACATGGGGATTTTATAAGTTCTGTGCTGTGGTGTGTTGCTACCGGTTCGCCCCGGTTCAAGCGAATCAGTAGCGGCGGCGGGAGGCTCCTCCCACCCACCCGGACGTCATCACGGATGCTCTGCGCTTGGACAGAAGCTTCTGCGTGCGTGTGTGCACTTCCAATAGCAAACCAGTAGCAAAGGTAAGTGAAACCCACTACTGGTTCTGTGATGTTTTTATTTTTGTACTTCCAGCATTATTACAGATTGTTGCTATCCTGCACTAGGATTATAAATCTAAGCAGTTTTTCCCAATCTGGTGCCTCCAGATTGGGAATTTCAGCTCTAACTCAATGATCGATGATGAATTCATTAACATATCCAGGTAGGTTTCATGGCAACAATATGAAAATGTTTTGCTATTGTCTTCTTTTTATTTCCCAGTCTAGCTTCAGTTATATGTATAATTGAATAATGTTACTGGCTGGAGATGACTATATGAAGCTGTTGTCAACCTAGTGAATTTCAAAGGTATTGGACTACAGATTTCAATCAGAGCATGGTGAATGAACAATGATGAAGCCTCTCTTCACATGCAACAATTCGCTTCGTTTTTTATTTGAAACAATTCATTGTTTTTCAGACTTCTCTTCTAACATTAGAATTTGAGGGCATTTAAATAAAGCTGATTAGATTTCGATGAGCCCAAATCATACCTCTTCACAGAGTGCATAATTACCTTGTGGAAATAATACCCATCAGAATGATAATAGGCACTAACAAAATTCTAACTTAGTGTTACATGGTTCCAAAAATCTAATTTTTTCCAGTTTTTCGTTGTAATATTGTAAGGATTAGATAAATCATTTATCTCTCTGTGAAGGTTGAAGAGAATGCATCTCACTCACATCTCTGTCCCCCAAAACAAAAAAAGTTCCCAAATGATTGTCCTGCCATCTGGCGATGCCATGACATCATTGGCACACTGTTGTGCCTCCAGGAGGGCACAAGGGCAAAATAGAGTCCCCAGGTTGGAAAAAAAAATAGTCCACCCTAATCACTCACATGCTGCAGGTATAAATTTGATTCTGATGCCTGAGGGCACATTTTAAAATATGCATCTCAAGGGAGAAGTGTTTTCATATTCCTTGAGGTCTAAGCTGTCAAATGCTGTTAGCTTTATTTATGCATCTTTAAGGGAAGTGGTATTCTTATAGGTCTTACCTGTGGCATTGAGGGCAGGAAGTAGCCCGCAGAAGGGTGGAAAGAACATAGGAGGGGACCAGGGAAGGCTCTCATAGTGGCCAGCCTCTGCATGTATTGGTTGGTGAGAATGGCTTTTCTCTCCTCTTTCCGTTGGGCAAGGGCAACATACAAAGGCTTAGTGCTGACGATGCGTCCATTCATTTCAGTCACAGCCTTAGTCGCTTCTTCTGGGGAAGAAAAACATACAAACCCAAAACCTTTGCTGTGTCCACCATCCGTCATTACCTGAATGAGAAATTAAAACAAAGTCCACTGAGCCCATGACTCTCAGCACAGACAGGAATGTCCACCCTAGTCAGTATGGACAAACCAGTCAAGATGGTGCTTACAATAGTGCAATTAAATTTTATTTTATTTAGCTTATGGCATCTATGGTCATGCAATCACTGATATACAACACTAATACACAAATATGCATTTACATAAAGCAGTGTGTGTGTGTGCATGCGTGTACAATACAATATATAAGATAAAACATTACATTAAGGTAAAACCATGATAAAATCTTCCTAATGTACCATAGAGTCACAACAGGATAGATGTTCTAATTCTATATCTAAGGAAGGTAACCATCTAACTCAGTGATGGAGCGAGCGTGTGGCACCAAGTGCCGAAAAGGGAGCGTGTGTGCATTTGTCAGGGCCGCGACCAGGAAGAGTGCTGCCCAGGGGTCATGTGTGTGCCTGATAAGGTACTTCCAGTTTCTGACATGCACATGCGTGCCAGCCAGCAAGTCTTCCGGTTACTGCTGTGCATGCACACACACCAGTCAGCTGGCCGGCACGCATGCTCACACAGGGAAACAGAAGACCAGCTCTTCTGGTTTCTGGCAATGCTGCATGCACAAAGGCCAGCTGATTGGCTCATGCGCATATGCGCCAGAAACTCAGAGGAGGAATGGGTGACGCTGCGCATGCCAGGCAACATGGCTCCATGTGTGACTTCAGGCATGTGTGCCATAGGTTCACCATCACGGATCTAACTGCTTCTGGTGTGGCTGCAATGAGATCATCCCAGCCCAGGTGTATGAAGTGTAGACTTCTTCCATGATGGAAGAATAACTTTTAAAAGCATTTGTAGAAAAAAAGCTTTTAAAAGTAAAAAAAAAAAAAAAAGACTCTGATGATCGCACGGCTCAACTTGGCATGGGAGGGGCAGGGATTTCTGCTACCAATTCTCCTAATCACCCACCGCCATCGCTACTGGATCGGGTGATCCGGTCCGAACCGGGAACATTTCATCCCTGTGCCCAACCTATTACACAGCTTCTAACACACAGTAATCAATGTATTAAATTGGTTTATTATTTCAAGATTGTAAAATGTTTCTACCCTTCCACATTCTCTCCCCCAGAGATAAGAGGAAGAGAGAGAATTTGCAGAAACTTGGTTCTATTGGATAATCTTACATCTATTAGTAAGCCATATTGCTATCCCTCTGCATTCAACAACTGTACAAAACAAGTCTTGTGTTTTATGCTTTCAACATAGCAATCAGAATTACAGCAGAAAATACAAGGCATAGAGAGGGGTAATTAATTATAATTACACAGAGGCCGACTTGGTGTCATAAAATGAGCTTTGGTTATTGAGTGGTTTAAGCATATTAATAAATAAATCAATAAAAACAATTAAGGGAGAATGGTAACAGACTGCACTGCAAGTGAAAACTCCTGTGATTATTATTCCTTCCATAATATGCAGCCCTACATATTAAAACATCCACTAGGTTTTAGAAAAGCAAATCATGAAACAGGTTCAAACTGCATTCTGAAAGGAAACAGCCCAGTACTATTTGCAATTGGTGAGAACAACTAGCAAGCATCCACATCAAATATGCAAGGATACTCAGGTGTTAGAATCTTACCTTGGCACTTGTGATGGTTCCATAGGGTGAGAATTCTTTTCTCAAGTGCTCATCATCAATGCCATCATCCAAGTTCTTTACATACAAGTTTACTCCCTGAAAGCAAACAAGCACAGCCATTTTTGTCTCTTCACCATAAATGATATTGAGATAAGAGTTTTGTAATGAATATAGACATATAAGTGACATCATCCAGTATCACAAGGCTGAAAGAACCTCACGTGCTCTCAAGAGCAGTATCTAGGGTTTAGGATTAGCTTTATCTGATGAGTGGTCATGCAAATCAAAGATAAAAAAAGAGTTATAGTTGAAAATATCTAGAGGACTTGGGGGAGAGGCTGCCCTAGATATTATCTTTCAAATTCATGAAGTGAATTTAACATTGACCTATGCTAACTTCTATTATTTGCCATTTACCCAATGCCTAAATCTAGAATACATGTTATTTTTATTGAATTTGTTCTCTGGTTGTTTATACCTACTACAGTTTATATGTTGCTAATGAGGGTCAAACCAGAAGGAACAATGCAACATTAATATAGCAATGACAATATGCAACGAAACAGAATAACAGCACCCTGAGGATCAATTATAACAACCAATTCATGGCAGGATGATCCCTTTAATTATCAATCAATCGCAACCCTTTCAGGAAAATGTTAACCGTTTCTGAAAAACAATGAGATGGGAACAAACCTAATCTTGAGAAGAATGCTATTCCCAAGGAGGAGGACACCAACTGAGAAGGCTCAATCTTAAAGTCCCTAAAGATGACATTTCTTAAGAGAAAGGATCTTAAAAGAGTCCACCCTTCCCAATTTTAATGAGTGGATGGAATCCACTGATTGAAGGCAGTCCATCGATATCCAAGTCCTAAGCTATGTAGCCATGATCATATTTTACAAAAGAAGAATAACTAGCTAGAAAGGCCCACCTCTATACTGTAAGTAGTCCTTACCTAAATGACCCCCAAATTCCTCCTGGATTAAAATAATCTACATATACTATTCATGTAACAAAGATAAGAAAGAGCTAATTATCAGAAAAACCGATTAACTGAAAAGTTCCACATTTGAGAAATATGAGGAACTTCATTTGAACCTTGTCTCAGCACTTTCTGGGATAATTAGACTGTACATTTTCAAAACAGGAACATCCATTAATCGCCATATGGCTCTAAGGATGAGCATGACAGAACTGGCCTCTAGAAAAGTTTTTTAAACTACCATATTTGTTAACTTCCAATCCAGTTATATCTTGCCAACATTTGTGGTTTTTCTTTGGGCAAAATATATACCTTAGAGTTTATAACACAAAGCAAGAAATGTGCAGGATAGGAAACTGGGTCCAAATTAAAATAGAAAAAGTACAAGAAAATGATGTTTGTTCACAGTTTGAGAACTTTTCTTGGGAAAAGACACTCTGCTCAAAAGGCATAAAAAGAAGAGAGACGTCACTGCACTTATTTAGTAACAACCTGACACTTGCTGTTCAGAACTTCCAAATCTTCCTTCAGGCAGCCCCCATTCCCCATCTACCTCTTTCTGACTGAAAACAACACAGTAGAGTGAACCTAACTGCTAGAGTCATCAGAAAACATCCAAAGTATTGAATTAGCCAACAACAGTTACTTAAACTCACTCTATTCCAACTTTCTGTTCAATAGGTCCCAGTACAGAATAGAAAAGGGGCAGAGAATGAGTATGAGAATGGAGAATGTTACTGTAATAAAATTCGCAATGTAACTGTGGGACTGAATCAAATCAAGTCAACTACTGTATAATACAAGATGAAGAATCATAGCCAGCCATAGACGGGACATTTGAGATTATTTAGCAGAAAAGGGGAATTTAGTTCAATTTTCCTTCTCTCATTCCCCCTCCTGATCCGATTTCTTTCATCAAGAGCCACAGTGGCGCAGTGGTTAGAATGTAGTACTGCAGGCTACTTCTGCTGACTGCCAGCTGCCTGCAATTTGGCAGTTCAAATCTCACCAGGTTAAGGTTGACTCAGCCTTCCATCCTTCCGAGGTCGTTAAATGAGGACCCAGATTATTGGGGGCAATATGCTGACTCTATAAACCACTTAGAGAGGGCAGGTAAAGCACTGTAAAGCGGTATATAAGTCTAAGTGCTATTGCTATCTCTGTCCCTTCATCCAGTCCCTTCATTCTAGTAGAGGTGCATTTTGGAGTCCAACAACAGAATGTGGGATTTTTAAAAGACATCCAATGGTTCTGTACCAGCCACACTTTGCCTTCAGCTCATATTACCTGATATCTGTTCATTCTTTCCTGCTTCATTTGTTCAAATTTACGCTTCAGCTCGTTTTGTCGCTCCATCCTTTTTTGGGCTCTGCCAACAAATACTGTTCGGTCATTGATTTCACTTCCATCCATCTGCTCAACGGCCTGCGGTGAGAAGAGGTGACAGGCCACACCGTAAATTTATTTCACAGTAAATCACCTCATACTTTATGATTTCATTACAGGTAGTCCTTGACTTACAGCCACAATTGGTATCAGAATTTCCATTATTAAGCAAGGCAGGTTGTTAAAGTGAGTTGTGCACCACTTTATAACTTTTACCATGGTTGTTAAGCAAATCGCTGCAGTTGTTAAAATGAATCATGCAGTTGTTAGGTGAATCTTGCTTCTCCCATTAACCTCATTTGTCAGAAGTCCTTGAGATCTCAGATGACAATCATATGATCCTCGGACAATGAAACTGTCCTAAAACTTGCTGGTTGCCAAGCACCCACATTTTGATCATGCCACCATGGGGATGCTGTAACAGTCTTAAGTGTGAGGACCAGTTGTATGTTGCTTTTTTCAGTGCTGTTGTAAATTCAAAGAGTCGCTAAATGAAATGTTGTAAGTCGCGTACTAACTGCATTTATTATTTTAATCAAGGCCTGCTTTGAACTAGCCAAAGGATGAAATGCTATCCTGCCACAGCCTGAGGAAATAATTGGAACACTAGTTCAATTTATGACGAGATGCTGGCTTTAAAAAAAGACTCTTAAACTCTTATTATATTCCCCAATCCTTCCTTCTACCATTACTTTTAAACAGAGAAAGGAAGATTGAGAACGAAGATCAACTTGCCTTCTGAGCATCTTGATGCTTCTCAAAATTGACAAAACCAAATCCTTTTGAGCGGCCAGTATTATCTTTCATGACCTTGACACTCAAAGTTTTTCCTGGAAGTAGAACAAAAATGTTTAGGCTTATACTACAAGAAATAAGGTTTTCATGGAGCGCTGAGGCACAAGGTGCTCAGCTCCATTCATGGATAGTAATGGATACATGCCAATAAGTACCACATTCTTCTATTACATTTAAACCTTTGGCTCACAGAGAAATTTTACTCCAGGGAGGTATTTTTCATGTCTTCAAATTCTGCAATAGAAAATTCAAATTTGTGTCATGGCAGTTCAAGGGACCCAGAGTTGCTTAAATCAGATGGCTAGCCATACAAATCAAGTTATCATTCTCCAAATACTAGCCATCCTTGTCATTTTATATATATTAAAATGAAGTCTTCCGCTTACCAAGTGCATCCACTTATTAGATAGCTCAAGACAAACAGGTCAGGTGTTCTGTATATTATTACAGGGAAGGAATTTCTAATTGATATTGAAAAGGAAGCCATTTTTAAACCATCTTACATGTAAAAGTGTAGCTTCCCATAATCCTGTACCCTCCAAATATAATGGTTATCAGTTTTCATCCCTTAGGGATACTAGACAAATTCAAAAGAATTAGGGGAGGTGATGAGCACTGCATCAGAACAGCAACAGATGGGGAAAACTTCCCAAAATATATCCTTAAAACAGATGCAAAATTGTTGTTATCCTTATGTCTTAGATTATGATTTCAAATTTTTACTTTGCAATGGAATGTTTTTACCTATGTGGAAGTAGGTTAGATCACACTTCTGGCTCTATCTTCTGCACAAAAAAACTGAAGCAGCATCTAAGCCATGGTGGCGCAATGATTAGAGTGCCATATTGCAGGCTAACCCTGCTGACTGCCAGCAGTTCGATCCTGACCAGCTCAAGGTTGAAATCAGCCTTCCATTCTTCCGAAGTTGATAACATGAGGTAAAATGCTGACATAAGTAAACTCCTCAGAGAGTGCTGCAAAGCACTATGACACAGTATATAAGTCTAAGTGCTATTGCTATTCTGCTAAACTGTTAAACTTATGCTCACCCTAACCTTAACCCTAAGCCATACCCATATTTTATTAGCAGCACTTTTAACTGTCACCCTTACCAAATTTTGAGAATATTTCTTGCAGCCTCTCGTCAGTCATGTCCTCTCCAAAGTTTTTGATGTAGACATTAGTGAATTCCATTGCTTTGGCTCCATATTCTGCTTCTCGCTCTCGGCGAGACTTAAAGTGGCCAACAAATCTGCAGTCAAGACAGGAGATGTGAAGCCAACTCTTAAAAGGGTATTGCAAGGGCAGAAGAGACCTCCTACTCTCTTTTATTCAGCTGACAAATTATGCAGCTGGGGCAGCTTCTTCCTTGCTGTTCTGCAAAGCCAAAGCTTGTCTTCTCAGGTGAATCTTTTAGAAGCCAAATTTCAATAAAATTCAGAAAGAGGCAGGATTGTATGCTTTGGTATGTTTGCAAAGGTATTTTCTTTAGGGCAGAGGTCCCCAACCTCTGGGCCGCAGCCCACTACCGTGCCATGGCCTGTTTGGAATTGAGCCACGTGAGTGGCTGGCTGGAGTGCGCACGCATAGCTCAACTTGTGTGAGTGGCAGGCCAGCGTGTAATCACACACATGCACACCAGTGGTGAAATCCATTTTTTTTTACTACCAGTTCTGTGGGTGTGGCTTAGTAGCCGTGGTGTGGCTTGGTGGGCGTGGCTTGGTGGGCGTGGCAGGGGAAGGATACTGCAAAATCTCCATTCCCACCCCACTCCAGGGGAAGGATACTGCAAAATCCCCATTCCCTCCCCACTCCTGTGGGAAGGATATTGCAAAATCTCCATTCCCACCCCACTCTGGGGCCAGACAGAGGTGGTATTTGCCCATTCTCCGAACTACTCAAAATTTCCACTACTGGTTCTCCAGAACCTGTCAGAACCTGCTGGATTTCACCCCTGATGCACACAGGCCTGTTGCTAGTGCAAGTTAAGTTGTGCGCATACACACCAGCCCATCATTAGTGTGGCCCAGTTCCCCTCTCCTCCTCCCCAGCCAAGTCTCCAAGTTGTAAAGGTTGGGGAACCACTGCTTTAAGGGAATCCAGAGGTTAAAAAATGAGATTGAGAAGTGTTTTTTTATTTTATTTTTTTAAAAAATCCATATTCCACCCTTAAAAATAATGTTTCTAAGTGTGCAATACGTTAAAGTCAATTTTTAAAAAACAAAACAAAAAAACCCCAGTAAGTTTAAGAATGTTGCTTCATAGATTTAAATTATTATTTATAAAAGAGAAGAATAAAAACTGCTTTATTAGATTCATATTTTGTAGTGAGTCCTGAGTCCTTCGGGAGAAGGGCGGTATAGAAATAAAATTATACTTGTACTTATATTTTGTATAAAATATGTAGAATGATTTCAAGATGTACAATAAAAAAACGTATAATTTGAGATTTTTTAAAAAAATCTAAAACAGTATCTGCAGCATTCAAGTGAGGACCAGAGTTGGCTTTTGGGAGTAAACCCTTATTCCTGGTGATTTATTATTAAAATGTCTGTGAAACCAATATGAAAGCTAATTTTAATATTAAAATTTCAGTATTATAAAATGACTTTCCCCTTTTATTTCACAATTCCCTTCTTTTAGTACACTTTGAATTGAAATCTGATGGCAATTTACACAGAAAATCTGGGGGCCACAACCAGGGGTTTTGGGGCTACCAATTGCTTTGGGCTATTTCTGATCTAAAAGGTCAAACCTGACCCCAATTATGAGTTGAAAGTAAACTCTCAGGCAAAATACTACAGTAACCACTCCAGTATATAGAAAAATGCCTCATGCCAATTGATGTATTTAGCCTGGTAAACCTAACTGACTTCACTCTGTCGGCCCTGACTAATAAAGGATCTACTAAGTTTCAAAGATTCAGAGAGTCTTGCTTCCCAAGAGATCCTAGAACTGAACCTGGATCTTATACATTCAAAACACACATTTACCACCAAGACATGACTGTTTCTTTAAACTATACTAGAATTGCAGGTTATTCCCCTTGTAAAGGATATTGGAGGGGGGGGGAATTCATTGCACCATCTGCTCAGGCTTCCACTTACACCTTGCGATCATTTAGAAGCATTCCATTCATTGTATCAATTGCTCTATTTGCTGCCTCATGGGTCTCAAAATGGACGAAGCCATAACCCCTAGATCCATTCTCATCACAAACAACCTGTTAAGAAATTTAAGAGAAGGGTGAAAGAAAGAAAATGAGGCAAATCAAAATTTGGAACTGATAATCAGTCCACTGCTTGCCTTTCATATTCCCAGTTCTTCCCAGTTGCCTTTTAGAATAATAGCTATCACCTGCTTAACATGAAGCCATCTAAGAATATCTCATAATCTCCAACTACTAATCTGTACTGTTGATGCTGGATGGAGATTATATGGATACTGAATGGAAGCGTATTTGGAGAGATTTCAATGTATACAGTTCTAGAGCTCCCAGTTGCTCTTCTGGAGCCATTCTAGTAATTTTGACAGCTGAGAAACCATAATCTCTTGTCCCATCCTGAAAAGATGCTGGGAGAAAATGGGGAAATGAGCTAGATGAGGGGTGTCAAACTGGCAGCCCATGGGCTGGATGCGTCATGTGCAGGCCATGCCCTCCCCAGCTCCGCGAATGGGAAAAATGTCACAAAATATCACCTGACAGCAACGTGATGCAGCGAGTTTGACACCCGTGATCTAGATGTTTCACCCAGGGGAAAAATAATTGAAAGTCTTGTTAAATTGAAAGCCATTAAACAATAACAGATTGATACTGCAGCTGAACATTGATAAGAAAAAGTGACACAAACATGAATATATTTCAGACTTCTAAATGAAAATGCATCTTAAAAAAGAGAACTGTCAGCACTAGAGTAAATATTTATAATTATAATTCATAATTATATTTCATAATTATATTTCATAATTTCTGAAAAGGTTGCACCTACTTTGCAAGAAAGAATATTTCCAAAAGCTGAGAATGTATCATATAAGGCTTTGTTATCAATGGAATCATCCAAATTCTTGATGAAAATATTCCCGACACCTGATTTTCTGAGTCCGGGATCTCGCTGGGACCACATGATACGAATGGGCCGACCTTTTATGACTTCAAAATTCATGGTGTCCAAAGCCCGTTCAGCTTGAAGGATGGAAAATAAAAGCACATTCATTTACCAATAAATCAAACACAAACCTGGGAAACACAAATTGCAGTGCACCAACATCTAACTTTTCAAATAGTTTAGAATTACCAACATAGATTATCTTCAAGAAATCAAGAGATAGGATAAGGGTTTAAGAAATCACTGGTTTTCATGGTGTTGTTTGCACGTGAAATCCTAAATTTAAAATGATCAAAATGAAAACGATAGTATAGAACTGATTAATATGTAAATATATCCTTCTGCAGCATATTCATTGCATTTTTTATTTAACAAAACTTTTTTTCTGATGAAAAGCTTAAATTGTACATGTTCAATTTGATGTTTCAGACATTATTTTGGAAACAAAGGCCCTGTCAGAAATTATGAATGTAGAGTGATATTGACAGGTTGAATTTATGATCATTAACATTAACATTTATATTTGATCCATTGTTGGTGTTTGACACCATTAATAAAATCCATAAGGACAACTTTGTGCATTAAAAATTAACATTTGCATTTGCAGTTTATGAGTAAAAGACGTTTCTGTTTCAGCACCTGGTTCCTCAAGACAATATTATTTATCATTTTTTAAAATTAAAAGCACCAGTTCTCCCGTTTCTTCAGATTGAAATAGATCAACAAGTGGCATTCAGATTTCTAACAGAAGAGCACAGACTGCCATTAAGAGCTGTAGAAATAAAATGTCACATTTAAAAAATGGATAAGCAAATCTGAGTGTTCATACAATTATGAAAAATAAGAAATATTGATATAAAGCATATATGAAACATTAGTTCAAAGTTATTAGCCCTGAAAAGGATATTACACCCCTTATCCATCGGAAAAAGGAAAATAAGACTGAAGAAGAAACCATGTCCTCTCAGAAAATCTAAAGCTTTTAAAGACAAACTAGTTGGAGGAAAATAGTAAAAGAGTATTTTAGTATGTATTGCATTTGTGTACAGTATCAATATTAAACCAAGCAAAGAAAGTTCTTACCATCAGCAGGCTGTTGAAAATTTATGTAAGCATAACCTAGAGATCGCCGTGTGGCAACATCTCGACAAACTCTGATGGACATGATGGATCCAGCAGGTGAGAACTTCTCGTACAACATGGCTTCAGTAACATCTGGATGCAGGTCACCCACATAGAGAGAGGCTAGAGGATATCCTGGGCCACTAGCATTCATGGCCAATCATCTAATGTAACTTTGGAAGTGAAGCAGAACCTAGTTACTACTCAGTTGCATAATGTAGACTTTTGAGACCCAAAAATAACATAGGGTTAGAATAGCTACAATAGTGCTCCTTGTAACTTCTCCATGTGTGTCTGACAACAGTGCCATGAAGAAACTCACATGGTATCAGGGAAAAAATATTTAGAGTGAATTACATTCCAACATATAATTGAAAGCAAAGTATATATAAGCTCTCCAAACCCAGGTCTAGCTAAACTAGAATCCAATCCCTTTTCCATAATCCCCATTATATTGCAATAAGACTAGGAGGGGGAGTAAAGGAATTCAACTCTCTTTGGAGAAAACAAGAAATGCTATTTAGAGAATTCTGGGAGTTGAAGTCCACACATCATAACATTGCTGATGTTGAGAAACATTGCAGTAAACTGACTTGGTACTTCTTTGGAACCTATTTTATCTTTATATCTTCTTAGTGAAGTACTAATGTACTTAGTGAGGTACAATGGGCTGAGATTATACTAAACTCATTATACTTGATGATGATAAACTATTATCCCAAGATTGCTAAACTGGAGTAAGTATCTCAAAGTTGCTAATTTTTATGGCCAAGCAATTTTCAAAGCCAGATCACACTATTCAAAATCCAACAGTATTCTCAGAAGAGGTCATTGGTAAAATGATTTTATATTGGAAGAAAAAAGTAGGTCTTTTGCAAACTGAGTTCTTAAACCTTTTTGAGTCTCACAATTGCTTCCCACACTAGTGTATGCATATATGGGAGAAATAACATATGAAGCATCTTATATAAACTTTGACAGTAGACAGAGTCATGAGACAAGGTCTCTGGTGAAGTTTCACTTTTTCTACAGGATATTCAGTACTAATCTCAAATTTAATGTTCTGAAAGGGGAGGTTTAACTTCTTTCTCATATTTTCTTCGCTGTAGGATGCATCTTAGCTTCCTCTGTTTAATGCAAACAATTATTCTATTGATTGTTCATTTGCAGAAAAAAATTCATTATGTAGCTAAAATCTTTACTTACATACATATCCTCCCTTGTTCTTCCAAAAAAAAAAGAAGAAGAAGAAAGATAACTACAAACTCATAATGTTTAATTCTTACTACAACATTTTTCTGTACTTTTATATAGTACAAGTAATGAAGAATTTTAAGAGAAAGATTGGCCAATACTGATGCCATGCTTCTTTAATATTAGAGGATTCAACGCTATACCAGTTATTTTCCTAATTGTTTAAAACTACTTCAAAAGAGAGCTACAAAAGTATTTAATCCTCCTAGGAAAATTATAAGAGCACCCTAGATTATAGATTCTGTAAAAATTATTTTAGATTTTAAAAAAACTCTCAAATGTATCAATAGATAAACTAATATTTTACATTGCCAATAATTCTTAATTATCTCTCCTTATAATTTCTATTAACAACCTTCAAGTGGTCAGGTTAGGTTGAAACTGGTAACAAAATATCTGGAGGAACTCAGGTTGTGGAAAGTTGCAAAAATGTTTTGATTTGATGCAAAACTATTTTTTAAAATGGCCACTGTTTCTGAGTAATTAATTCAGATGCAACTCAACAAACTTTTTTTTTAAATGAAGAGTTGTTTGTTTCAGTTCATTACCTATGCAATTTTACCAGTTATTATTAATATCATAGATTAGTTTTTCTCAATCTGGTATTCTCAATCCTACAAAGCCCAATATAGCCAAAAAATGACAGACAATGCTGGGAATTGTAATCTCAGCACAGTTGGAAGCTATGAGTTTGAAGAAAGTCTCTCCCAATCACAGCTGTCCCATTACAGCTCTGAAAGATTGAGAAGGGAGGTTACTTATTTCCACATTTAGAAGTATTTCAATTTCAAAGACATAAAGATCAGGTACTTTGCTGCCGGCATCATTACCTAAGAAAAGCACATATATGTTTTCAGTAGATGAAAACAGCTACCCCAACCATTTTTCAATGAGGAACATAAATAAAAGAAAGCAAATGTGTGCCTTATTCGTTACCTTATTCTTCTAATCTAATTCTGTGTCCTTCCTGACCCTAAAACATAGCTTCACAACACTTCACTTAGCCTGAATAATGGGATGACTGAGCCAAAGTCACAAAGCTGGCTTGTGCAGCTGAGGGGAGATATTAAGCAGTTCTGTAAGTACCACACACTGGATTATATAATATCAGTCTATCACATTTTATAACAGCACATTGCTTAAATCCAACCTATGCAGTTAGCATACGGTTCTTAGGTTACCTGTACCCAAAAGATAGCTTAGTTGAATAAACCATGGTTAACTTAATTACAGACAAGCATTTTATACAAGCTCAACTACTGGCTACAGAGCAGTCATGAGAAACCAGTCCATTGCAGGATAGAAGGGCTCTAATGGATTTGGTCTATTCAATACAATACACCTTTGAGTTAAATAGTACCACTGTTCACTTGCCTATAGTACCTCTGTCCAATTTACTTCTGAAAATTAGTTTCCCCTTCCAACAAAATGGATTGCTGTTTGAGTAAATATGCTGGGGCTCAGATTCCTGAACCCACCCCTTCTCCATCAAGCACTCACTTACAGTAATGGAAAACCACCAGTAAAAAGCTCTCCTCTTGCACAGGTGCTCTCTAATGTGGATATTCAGAATCCCATAGCCCCACCCCTTCCACTCACAGAGCAGCAGGTGTGACCACCAGGCAGTTCCTGTTCCCAACATCCTAACCAAGGCTGTTACTCCTCTCCAAAGAATCTTACAGGAGCAGATCAAAAGCTTTTTCTTCTCAGCAGCATAGAGAAGGGGGTGGGAGTGGGCGGGGGAGTGCCTTATGGCAAGACTAGCTCAGTGCTGGCGAACCTTTTTGGCACCAAGTGCCAAAATGGGAGCACACGAGTGTGCCAGAAAGTGGAAGAACAGCTGCCCGGTGCACACATGCGCACTGGGCAGCTGCTCTTCTGGCTTCCGGTGCTCACGTGTGTGTGAAAACCAGCTGGCTGGCGCACTGGAACCTGGAAGGACAATGGGCGACGACTCTGCGTGCTACTTCCATATGTTCGCCATCATGGCTCTAGCTTAATGTCTTCTTGCAAGAAGCTTCAAGACCCACATTTTTATCTGTGGTTTAAACCAATTGCTTAACTAATGAGCTATTAACGCCTGAGTGCAGGTAGTCCTTGACTTACGATCGTAATTTTTTGTTGCTACATGAGACTTTTTGTTGTGAATTTTGCCTCCCTTTACAACTTCTCTTGCCACAGTTGTTATGTGAATCCCTGCAGTGGTTAAATTAGTAACACGGTTGTTAAATGAATCTAGCTTTCCCATTGACCTTGTCAGGCGGTCGTAAAAAAGGGATCACATGACCCCGGGACATTGCAATGGTCATAAAAGTGAGTCAGTTGCCAAGCGTGTCAATTTTGATCACGTGACCAGGGTGATGGTGCAACAGACGTGTGAAAAAGTCACGCCACTTTTTTTTAGTGTCTTTATAACTTTGAACGGTCACTAAATGAACTGCTGTAAGTCAAGGACTTTGTGTATACTGCTTGAGTTCATACAATGTTCTGAGAAAGGTGTTCAGGAATGGGGATTTAAAAAATGTCATAATAGCAGCTGTGACTGAGTATTTAAAGCCATGCTGCTTTCTTTTATGTGTATGTACAGTGCACGTAACAAAAACAGCAGGGGTTTGGTGGTGATTGTCATCTGGAATTTTGTGATACTCCCGCAAGGATGTTCCTAGTGTTGGGGTTAAGGGATTGTAGTAGGACCTCAGAAACTCAAGGTCAAGTTCCTTTTCAACCATAGAAATTCATTGGGTGGTTTGGGGTACTTGTTCTCCCAGAGACCAATTTATCCCAGAGTGGGGTTTTGTTAAGAGGAGGAAATGCTAACATATGCTACCTTGAACTCCAAAAGGAATGGTAGGGTATAAGCCCAACAAGCCACATTTTTGTCTGACATGTTAAATTCCATCCTTTGGGTTAGCTTTAGTTCAGTCTATCATGAAAACTATTCTCTATATTGTTTTGACTACAGCCAATGCTGTTTATGATAACACTGAAATTTTTTAAATTCTGATATTTGAGGGCTAGACTAGATATTCCTATATTCTAGGAATGAGAGAGGACAGAAAAATACCAGATCCTTCTTGTAAGCAATTCATGTGATGAAATATTCTGGATCCAAGGCAATTCATTTTTGAACCTCATTTCCCATGAAATGTAAGTACTTCGGAACCCATTTTTGAAAACTACTTACACCGGTATACTGTATATTTATTATTTATTATTATTTATTTTATTAAATTTGTATACCGCCCTTCTCCTGCTGGACTCAGGGCGGTGCACAGCCAAAATAAGAAACATCCCAATACAAAATTTAAAATTTGTTAAAAGAATTACACAACTTTGGCCCAAAATTTAAAACATCCCAACTAAAACCCAGACAATTAAAAATCTAACATCTCCAAAAGGGGGGGGGATGCTAAAATTTACAAAAAAATACGTTGAATAGAATCTCTATGGAAGTGCCAACAATATTTGCAAGAGCTGCATTCCATTGTGTATGCATTATAGGTAAATCTTACTAACCGATTGCCCTGTTCAGAGGATGAAGGGATTACAAGAAGGTTAATAGGCACACAATGGGGAATACACATAAAAAGCAATAAGATGGCATTGGCAGCTACAAGAGTGCTATGCAAAGGATGGGGGAGTGGGGAAAACGGTCACGGTCATGTGATTTCCTATTTAGCAACTTAACACAGAACTGCAGCTCTCAGCTGTGATTGCTAAAAGAAGACTACCTATATCTTTGCCTCTCTAGTTGATATTACAATAGAGGTAATATTTTTGACATACTATAGTGTTTTCAGCAAAAATAAATCATTATTCTCCGGTTTTGTTGGCAGAGCGCTGCAGGAAGCCATCTCAGCTGAAAATGGACCTCCGTTTTCGCGGGCCAGTCCTTCACTGTTTCCAGGGCAGCCCTGTGGGCCACAGATCTAAGCACCCTGTGGCGGGCCAGATCCAGCCCACAGGCCTTGAGTTTGATACCTGTTATAGGATGATCAAGCCATTTTCCAAATTACTATTCTAAAATATAAAACTCCAACATTCTAGGAGCTCTCTCTCACTAAACAAACTCAAAGAAAATCTTGCAGGCACTAACGTGTGGAGAATGGGATGGGATGACACATGCATCATGGCATAAGTGAAGTGACTTTGATATCTGCATTGGATATTATACAGATATGCCATCATGACTTTATTATGGCTTGCTAGGACAACAATGCTTGGGATGTATGGCATACCTCCCAAAATAAGATTGCTGAATCTGAATGAAATGTAAAATAGCATAGTTCATCCATTGCTAAGGTTTATCTTAAGAGACTTATTTAGACACTTAAATCACTATATAGAAACCAGGCATTCTCAAAAATGCAGTAGTATGTACCACTACATACTACATCACAAGAATATCCCCTATGAATAAAACTGTTTTCACTGGGATCCACATTGGGTCAGTTTTTATTGAAGTTTTCAAAACTATTAGTATTGCAGTCAGCTCAGGCAGACTGGAAGAGCTGTCAAAATATGCTTCTGCTTTGCTTCAACAATTTAAACCAAAAGGAACATGTCACCATGGCCCAGTCTGAAAATCCATTCTACAATCTCTGTACTTCTGAGTCAATTATAAAATATAAAACCTTGTCTTATTTTTGTAATAAATGTAGCTTTTGAGAATACGAGTTCATACTTCATTTCAGAAAGAATCTGAGGACCAATCTATTTGGAAGTTAAAAAGAATCTAAACACATTCCAAAAGATTTCTTTCTGCATTTACAGGAAATGTAAAACTACAGATGCAAAGAAATCTGTATAAAATAGATTTCTAAATGAAAGTGCCACAGAATTTGTGTGCGTATAGAAACATTGAGTTAATTCCTATAGATTGAATTATTCTCTCATCTGGATTGCTGCAGTATATGGGGTCACTCAGACCCTCCCCCCCCCATTAGTGTACCATATCCCACTCCTCTATTTGTGAATGTCAATTCCAATTCATAGATGTTACCCATTTGTAAGAAACAAAACTGTGCTGGAAACTAAAGTAACCACTTTGATGTATGGTATTATCAGAACAGCTGTAACTCCATAGATACACATTTTTTTCCTCATGGCCATACAACAATCTCTGTCTTCGGGCTGCTGCCACCTATATTCTACAAGAAGACTGGCTTTAAGATACTTTATTGCAAGAGTTTCAAGAAATATTTTTAGTTGTGTCCAGATTAAAACAAGTACTCAATGTAAATATTCCATTTTATTAGATCCAATATTTATACCAAAGGGCAATTTGTTCTGAAACGAAGTTTTACAAGACTAACTTTTCTTGTTATGATGCAATTTGCTTTTTAACTCCTTTTTAAAAATGTAGACTATAATGTACCTTAGTTTTATACCATTTATGAAGTACTGATGATGTTTCCAGGAAAATTGGACAGTATAGTATATGCTATCATGTTATAAAGTACAATTTTATTCCATATAGAAAACCAAATTTCATTATTTTGCTCACAAAGAAATAGTAATAAGTTTAAATCATTTTAGACCAATAGAAAAATCAGTTCATAGACATCACCGATACATTAATTACATCAATTGCATATAATCTAATACAATCAGTATTGTTAGGGTCCCAAAATAACATAGCCATTCCATCATATTGAATGTAGCCATAATTTTATCAAGTGATTGTGATAACATAAAAAAAAGAGAAACTGCAAACTGATAAATTTTTTTATTTTTAAATCGTTTTACACTTTCCTGATTGTGTAGGGTGAAACTAGAACTGTTTGAAAGACATACACAAATCTAGTACATCGATAACCAGGTATTTCTTTTTGCTATACTATTCTCACAACCACATGTGTGCTAGTTAATACAACCATCACAGAAGCAAACTTTAGGCAAAATACTGGTCAGTAGAAACAATGCAAAAAGAGCTACCAGATATACAGACAGGCTCGGTTCCACATTCACTACTGCATTTATCAAGCGCCAAGTAAAACTGCACAATTTGTTCAGCTAGTAGAGGGGAATTTTGAAGTCAGTGCATGAATTTTCTTTTCAGCAAACAGTTGAACAGACAGATGGACTCTATAAGCCAAGTGGAATGTCACAAGCAGAGAAACGATATTGAAAAGACCAATAAGAGAAATAGTCTCATCTTTCACTGCATTATCCATGCAACTACTACTGAATTCCAATCTTTGCCTGGACAAATTTGTATATAATTCAACATTATGATCTATATTTCTAAGAAAGTTAAGGAAAATGTTATATATGAGCCTGATATTTGTTTTGAACCAGGAGTGGCAAAAACTATAGCAGCAATAGGCCATCTGCATCTAAGTGAGACCTGTCCTCCAGTATATTTTACTTTCTACCATTACCAGAAATTAAGCTCAATTACAGTGATTTTCTAATTTAAATTACATCAGGAGAGACACAATTTGTACCAAGAACTCAAATATTTAAAGATACAGGTTTCTTTCCTGGAAGGAATTAATGTTTAACTTTTTAAAACTGGTAAAAATATTATTTCATGCAACTATTCTACAGCTAATAAAGCCATAAAAGTAGAATCCAAATTTCGTTAATCCACTAGCCTACAAAATAAATGTATAATACATTACTGACCAAAATTATGTTTGCCAGTGGCAAGAGCAGTGGACTATTTGGCCAAAGGCAAGGCCACATTTTTCTGCCACCGTTAAGTATTTGCTAGTTAAGATTTTTATTTCCCCTTGGCTTTAAACGAAATTTAAGAAAAAAATTAAAATCACATGAGCATTTGGCTAAAAAGCAGTGTGTCCAGCATCATTATTTCAAAACAAAACAAACAAACAAACAAAAAAAAAACACAAGAAATGTCAGAATGAACATGCCTATTCAATTCACAGAAGTGAGCTTCTGAACTGGAATACCACACAGTAGATTGTTCCCCTTCCATGTTGCAGTATCACAATATAATCTCTATAATTTTCTATACAACTTTACAGCAGAATTGTATGTCAGCAACTTTGATACCAGATTATTATCCTTCCAAGGAATTACATGATTTGTATCTATTCTTTCATCATCTGAGTTTTGTAAAGTCAACTGCAATCGCAAAACCCATAATCACAGTGTTCAGTTAAAAAAATATAAACACGGTAATCATAACTGCAAGTGTTCATAATAGGAAAGGTTCAGAATGCCATTGTTCAACTGATTTCCATTTGACATACACAGAACACCAACCAATTTTTTTTTACCCCACAGACAGTTTGCTACGTTGAGGTTGTGAAGTCGATGTACTATTCTTTTTGCTTGCCGCACAAAGGAATATAATGTGTAGGATACAGTGACATTGAACACATAGTGAAGCACGACAGACTTAGTTTTCACCTTCTCCAGCTTCCCCTTCATCTCCCTGGTTTTCTGATGTCCATAGCTGCAAGAATATACAAGAATGTTTATGTTAAAAATATGCAGTTAATTTCACTAGTCTAGAACAGGGGTCACCAACCTTTCGGACCGCAGGGACTGAAATTCATAATTTTAAATCCCGTGGACCACTAATGTGATCTGCCTAATGACCAGCTAGGTGGGCATGTGACTGGGTGGGCATGGCCAACTCGATGTCACTAGTGTCGAGGGGCACCTCGCAGGCCTCTATTCGCCCCTTCCCTCCCAGCCATTTCTCGCCTGCCCGCCCAAGCTCCTTAGGGCCCCAACAGGAAGCAGTTGTTGGAGTTAAGCAGCCACCACAAGAAAGAGTTGGCAAAACAGCTGGCTCAGTTCAAATTGGATCTGGCCGAAAAGGAGGCTCAGCAGAAGCAGCTCACTGAGGACTAGGAGCATAGGCTTTCCAAGCAGAAGGAAGACCTGCAGGAGTGCAAGGCCAGGTACCGGCGCCTGGATGCCCAGCGGGCTGAGATGGTCAGCCAGTTCCAGGCCATGATGCAGTCCCCTGGAACAAGGTCCTCCGGCTCTTCGCCACCAGTGGCACTTCCCTCCAGCCTTCACCCAAAGCCCCACATGAGGCTGAAGCAGACCCCAAGTCGGAATTTCTGCCCCCCTCTGCCCCACACAAAAAGACACCAAAGGGGAAGACTCTCTGCAGCCACACAAACGTTCATAGCACATATCCGGCCCAGGGGCTGTAGTTTGAGGACCCTGATTTAGTGCAATATAAAAAATGCGAATAATTTTTCTATGGACCATCAAAATTTTCTCGCGAACCACCAGTGGTCCACGGCCAACCGGTTGGTGACCGCTGGTCTAGAAAGTAGATACTGGGCAGTCTATTTTATATTGACTTGGCTTCAGCACAGCAGTGAAGAGAAACACTTAACGAAGAATTAAAGACTAGAGAATATAGGCAGTTAAAGAAACGAGAAAACAAAGACATGTTAGCAGATTGGAAAAGGCATTTATTAAGTTTTCTAATATAGATATGCTTGTTGTATAAAGCTTTATGTTATCACTTATAGTAGGGGTCCCTGACCCCCGGTCCATGGCCCAGTTGGGAACCAGGTCGCACAAGTGGTGGGTGAGTGTGCGAAGCTGCATTTGCACAAGCGGCATGCATGAAACCATCACCTCCCCCCCCCCGCAGCTGCCGCTGGTCTGCAGAGCCAGAAAGGTTGGGGACCGCTGCCTTATAGTATTTCCAAATATAACATTTTCCACAGGACTCCAATTAATCCACAAATAATAACTAACTGTATATTTAGAAACAGTTAAAGATACGATGTTCCATAGAAATTAACTGGCATAGCCACTTTTTCTAAAGATACTTACAGTAAGATTATCTCTAAGTAGCTGCATAATCAGGGTGCTATCTTTGTAAGATTCTTCATTCAGTGTGTCCAGTTCAGCTATTGCTTCATCAAATGCCTAAAACAAATTCAAGTATTATTTGACTTGTTTTTTCTGCCATTTCCAACTAAGAAACACAATTCACTTTAAAGTCTAATTAGAGCTAACTAAATGGGACATACTACTTACAAGGTTGAAATTGGGCTCTGGGGAGCAGCTGGGTTTATTGATACTACAATAGCTTTTCTGCTCCACCTCTCTGCTTAAACTGTTGAACTCCACTGAGGGGTTGGTAATGGTGGACCTAAGAGGCTGCTTTGGTGTGATAAAGTTAGGTGCAGCTTAAGAGTTAGAATTTCTTTTCTCCATGGCCAATTCTGACAGGTGAGGAGAGCGCCAGCTCAAAGATCTTGATATCAGTGTGCTTCAGAGTTGAACACTCTTACCTATCCTGTTTAACATCTACATGAAACTGCTGGGTGAGGTCATCCATTGATAAAGGCTCAGGTATAGCTTGACTCAGGATTATCAGTAATGCTGCCTAGGTCTTATCCCAGCAGTTGGAGGCTATATGGGTATGAATTAAGAGGAACAGGTTTCAACTCAGCCCGGACAAGCTGAATGGCTATGGGTATATGATTTCCTCGCACCAGAATTCTGCATTATTTGTTCTGAATAGGATAGCATTTCCCCAACAGAACCAGTTTATGATTTGTAAGTCCCTTCTGGACTCACAGTTCCTGCTTGAGGAGCAGGTGGCTGGCAGCTGTGGTGAGGAAGGCCTTCACAGATTCCTCTGGTATACCAACTGTACCCTTTCCTGGAGGAATCTCCCCCTTATAGTCATGCATGCATGCATGGGTCACTTTGTGTATGAATTTCAATGCATTCTACTTGGGACTGCCCTAAAAAACCACTTGGAAGATTCAGCTAGTCCATGAAAAGGTGGTGCAAACTGTTATGGATATATTCAATATGTCTTACAAAGCCCTTTATAGCAATGGGCTTGGCTATCAGAGGGAGCACTTCTTTCTCATTTCAGCCTTCCTGTAAGATCTGACACAAAAGACACACTGTGCGTCCCTGGGATATAAAAAAACACATCTTCTCTGCTGCAGCACTCTCTCTCTCTCTCTCTCTCTCTCTCTCTGAAATAGAACTGCCCATTCCCAGTTCAGACAGCCTCAACCTTGTAGGTTTAAACAATCAGAAAACTCTTTTCCCTCCAGGCTCTGGAATAGGTCAGGGCATGCCCTTCTGACATGCACTGCCTGCTTTGGTTAAGTATGTCTATTACAATAGCTAAAAACAAAACAAAAAAAGTTAAGGTATCTGTTTTCAATTCATATGTTTAAAATTAGTGTTGAGTTGGGTATAAATCTAAATTGTAGATTATGTAACTGGATCTAAATTAAAGTCATACCTTGCTTTTTCCCACTAACATTGGAATGCTATAGAATCTAAAAGTATGCACATTTTAAGTTATTATTTAGAGACTATTTCCAGTATCCAGCTAGCTATTTTAGCTTAGTAACATTTCATTAAATACATTAGAGGATAATAATTCTCAAATATTAATTTAACCTAAACTTAGGTTCCCCTTAATGTATACTTCCTATTCTTCCCCATTCACTAGTTTTCAAATAAAATTAAGTCCTTACTGTCTTTGCCAGACTACAGGCTTTCTCAGGTGAGTTTAATATTTCATAGTAGAACACAGAGAAATTAAGTGCCAGACCAAGCCGAATAGGATGTGTTGGCTGCATCTCCTTCTTGCTGATTTCAAACGCTTCTTGATATGCCTGTTGAGAATTTCCTACTGTTGCTATGAAGAAAGATAAGTATATTTTTAATTCCTCATCATATGAGCAATCAAGTAAGAAACAAATAATGAAAATCTTGAGCAATTAAACTGAATGTTCTTTCATAATTATTTCAATACAGGAAAGCAAACAAATTTGTTTGTTATATTTTTAGTATATCCAAAAATAAATGTTCCTGGGAAAGAGTACTTAAGATTCCAAGTATTAGCCAGGCCCAACTTGCTTAACTGCTAAGCTTAAGATACGTTCAGCCAGGTGTTGTCACCTGCTCAGTTAACGGATGCAAAATACATAGCCAAGCTGAGATTTTATTATAAAATTGGGCTACAAATTAAAAACAACAGTAGCGCTACATTCATTTACAATCTCCACAGGTACCAGGAGGCAGACTGCAATTGTAGGCCTGGAGGCCACCGCCACAGAAGGATGGTAGGGATTTCCTTGGGATTGGAGCCTCACCTTTTGGCCCCACCTCTTCAGGCATGCCCTGGGTCTCAGCTGGAATTGAATTGCTGCTGACAATAAGTACTGTGCTCCTTTCTTCTCATTTCACCACTATAGGTGACTTATAACCATTTGTTTAGAAACCACTCAAAGTTACAACAGCACTGGAAAAAGTGACCATATATGTGGGTCCTCGCACAAATATGGCTCTTACAGCAACCCTGCATTCAAGTAATCCAAATTCATGTATTTACAAAGGTTGCAGCATTCCTGGGTGATGTGATTACCATTTGCAAGCTTCCCAGACAAAGCCTCCAACAAGCAAAATCAATGACGGAAGCTAGATTTGCTTAGCAACCACAGTGATTTGCTTAACAATTGTGGCAAAATTAAATAAAATAAAATCGGGCATGACTCACATAACAAATCCCTTACTTAGCAATGGAATTTCTGGTCCCAATTGTGATTGTAAGTCGAGAACTACTTGCACTTTCACTGCACAGAGCTGCAGCAGAGTTTCTACTTGTGTCACCAATCTTTCTGCAGGGCTTTAACCATGAGAACCATAAAGCCTGTGCCTATTTTTTTTTTCATTACTTCAGATTAACGTGAAGAATAAAAGATAAAGAAGAATCGGTGTACTTTAAGACATGGGGACGTTTTTATGATTGACTAGAAAAGGAATATGAATAAAAATAAATGAGAGAAAAGACAAAAAAAATATAGAAATCCAGATGACACCTGAGCAAAATAGAAAAGAAATTGAAAGGAAAATGTGGGTAAACGTGGGTCTCCTGCGCGAGCTGCACTGGCTCCCAGTGAACTTCCGAGTGCGCTTCAAGGTTTTGGTTATCACCTTTAAAGTGCTCCATGACTTAGGACCTGGTTATCTATGGGACCGTCTGCTACCGCCAATAGCCTCCCACCAGCCAGTACGCTCCCATAGAGAGGGGCTCCTCTGGGTGCCGTCAGCCAAACAATGTTGACTGGCGGCCCCTAGGGGGAGAGCCTTCTCCGTGGGGGCACCTACGATCTGGAACGAGCTCCCCCCGGAGATACGGAGGTTCCCGGATCTGCGCACCTTCTGTCATGCGCTTAAGACTTTTTTATTTCATCAAGCTGGCCTGGCCTAAATCTTCTCCCCTTTTTAAATGTAAATTTTAATTTGTTTTTAAATTATGGGGCATTTTAAATTTGTCTCAGCCAAATTATTTAATTCATTTTTATTCTATTTTAAATTTTTGTATTTATGTGTTTTATTCTGTGGCTGTTCACCACCCTGAGTCCTTCAGGAGTAAGGCAGTATAGAAATCCAATAAAATAAATAAAAATAAATAAAATAAATATAAGATCGGGGTTGCTCGAATACAATCTTGACAAAATATTGAATTGAAAATGGACACAACAACGGAGAGGGAAGGGAGAGAGGAGTAGAGGGACAGGTAGGAAGGAGAGAGGAGAAGGGAGGAAAAGAGAGAGAGAGAAGAAAGGGAAAAGGAGAGGAAGAAAGGGAGGGGAAATAAGAGTAGGAGAGAGGGTTAGAAAGAGAGGAAGAGGGGAGGAGTGGGGGAAAGGAAGGAGAAGGAGAGGAGGGGAAGGAGAGGAGGACAAAAGAAAGTTGAAAAGAATAGAAGAAGGGAGACAAAGGTAAGAGGAAGAAGGAGAGGAATGGTTGTTGTGGAAGAAGGGAGATATGGAATAGTAGAACAACAACTCTGAATGTATTTTAAAGTTTTAGGATGAAGAACGAACCAATATGGAAACCAAGAGATAGTATGTGTGATAAGAATGGTTAAAAAGATTGTACATTTATATATGTTTTATGAGAAATAAAAATAAAAAACTTTTATATAAAAAAAAGTCTCTGCCTATTTTTTTTGATTAATTCACTACTGGGCTTTGAACTGTTCCAAACCGAGCCACCTAGGGGTGGGGGTGGGGGGCGAACAAGTGCGCGTCATTTGTGCAACTGGTGGGCAGACATGCCAGCCGCTCACACAAATGGAGCTGTGCATGCACACTTGCCCACTGCTCACATGGAACCATCCCCTCTCCCCCTCTCCTCCGGCAGTCTGCAAAGTCAGAAAGGTTGGGGAACTCTTTTTTCAAGAAACTGTTATTCTTTAAATAGCTGGTAAGGGAATTAAAAATAGATGGGGCTTGTATCAATGCGTATACAAGCACATTACAAAGCATATCACAGGGCTGCAGCCTTCGATTAAAGTCTTGCAGCAGTTTCTATTTTACGGCAAAATTGTTTGTTCTAGTAGGCAGCAAAGGGACTGTGATTGTGAGATTAGAAACTAGTTTAGGAGACCTGTTAAATTCCATAGGCATTAAATGTTCTGAGAAAGAGATAATGAAGATTTTGGTTTGGAGAGAGCAAGCAAGGCATAACTCATGACAAGTGACTAAAAAGTTTGCTCAATTTTAAAATCTGAAGACTTGAAGTCTGAATTAATAATATGCCCTCAACAAATTAATCTTTCTACAATATGATCTGGGAATTTAAAAATTCCCAATTTTGCCATCACAAGCTTAAAATCTATTTTAAAAAATACTGTAGTAAGATAAAAGTGTGAATCAATATGAGAATAACTAAACATTATATTTGATTTTATGCATGCAGAATTGCAAAGGATTTTTAAAATGGGAAAATAGTAAAATATCTACAGACTGTATACTATTTGTATACAGGCAGTCCTAAACTTACAATGGCAACTGGGACCAGAATTTCTGTCACTAAGTGATGTTCATAAAATGTGACCCATTTTGCTTAGCGACAGAAATCACTTCAGTACCAGTTGCTGTCATTACCTGAATCTCACAGTTGTTAGGTGAGGCAAGGCAACTTCCTGTTGCCTTCCCACAATCAAAGTCAATGGGGAAGCCATCAAGAAGTCACAAGCCCCAGGCCCACAAGCAGATAAGATGGCTGGTGCCAGTTAGGGGAAAGACCAAGGGAGTGGGGATATGGGGGAGGGTCGAGGATGTGCAAGAGGCACTGTGTGGGTCAGGGAGAATGAGCAAGGTGCCACGTGGGTCAAGTGCAGATGAGCTGGGGGGAAGGTAGATGAGTAGGGGAGACTCACCCGAGTGACTTACAATCTTCCCTGCTGGCTTCTCCTTTGACTTTCTTGGGGAAGATGGCAGGGAAGGTTGCAAATTGTGTGATCATGGGGTGCTTGGCAACTGACTGTAAAGGCAAAGGGGTTGTCAAGTATCCAGATCGTGATCACATGATCGCAGGGGATGTTGGGATGGCTGGAGCTCCCAGAACCAGCCATAACCACCATTCATCCAATGCTGTCATAACTTCAGACAGTTGCTGAACTGTCAAGGACTACCTATAGTGGCCTAACAGATATTTCACAATGGTATAAAAAGATTGGGTGGAGGAAGATGGAGGGAATAAACCTAAGTTTCTGCCTATCTTTAGCTGGGATATCTGGAACAGCACTACTGGAATCCAGTCCCAGTCCCAGTCTGAAAAGGTTACCATATTTTTCGCATTGTAAGACGCACTGGACCATAAGACACACATTAGCTTTAGAGGAGGAAAACAAGAAAAAAAAATCAGCTTCTGCCTCTCAGCATCCATCCAGTATTCATCTGGCTAGTGTCATTGCAGCAAACAGCAAACAGCCTGGTCAGCTTTAGCACGGTATCGCAGCCCCAGCATGTGGCTCATCAGGGCTCTGCTCTGTTGTGCCCACTACCGATCAACTGAGCTGAGCTGCCGTCACTGCTGGGGAACATGATCCCCGCTGCCTAGAACAGCTGATCGGCGGTATTCCGGGAGGCTGATCCAACCTGATCCAACAATCAGCTGCTCAGCAGTGAAGGCTCCAGCGTTCCCCAGTGGTGGCAAACAGCAGCAGCGAATGCTGCTGCCGTACCAACCCCCCTCCACTCCGCCACAATATTTATTCTATAAAACGCACAGATATTTCCACCCACTTTTTGGGGGGCGGGGGAAGTGTGTCTTATAGTGCAAAAAATACGGTATACAGTAAAATATCAATAACTTAGTGAAAAGAACATCCCCACATGTTAAACTAACATATGCACAGCCCACTTCATTCCAAGATTTTAAGGTACATGAAAAATTAGGTTTCTATAAATAAATACAGCAAACACATTTCATTCCATACATCTGTGCCTTTACAGGGTTAAGATGTGGAGTACAAGAACAACAAGTGACTCATGCTTTCTGCTTCCCACGTATTTTTTAACATTTGAACATTTGAAGTAGAATGAAGTAGAACATTCACATTTTCTCTTGTGGTCAAATCTCATCTCTCCTTGCACTGGGAGCACTGGTTACCTTGGAGGACATAAATGCAATGAAAATCACTTTTTCCCTATATTTTAACAATCCTGAGTCAATTTGTAATTAGAAATGTTGGAACAAACTTTTAAAATGCTATCTATAGTTCCTGTAGAACATCACCCTACCATATAAGATACATCACTTACTTTGCTTGTTGTCACCAGATGCCACTTCTGAAAGGTATCTGTAGTAATCGCCTTTCATTTTCAAATAGAAGACTTTACTTTCTGGTTGTGTGGCATTAACAATAAGGTACTTATCTAAGAGTTCCTGAAAAACAAATTATTCATATAATTAAGAATGCTATTTCTTCAATTTATCATTATTTATTGAGATGAATTTTAGCAAATAATTTTCTGATGCTTTGTTTAAGGCTGACTAATAATGTCCTCAACACAAGCTAGACCTATACAAAGTAAATATACTCACCAAATAAAAATATGGACACTCAAGTACTCCTTATTAATGAATGGAGACATACAGACAAAACCTCTCCCTCCAGAAAATAATGAGCAAACATATCTAACAGAGGCAAATAATTAGTGAGCATAATTAATAAACAGGAAAATCAAAGCAACTTTAACTACATTGAGACTAATGGTTCAAATTTAAGGTTAATAAGAGATTAGACAGCCATATAAATAGTTTTACCTATCTGCTACCATATTTTCCCGAAAATACGACCCACCCTGAAAATAAGCCCAAGCCTAATTGAGCGGGGGGGGGGGGGTTTGCTAATATACACCCTACCCCCAAAATAAGCCCTAGTGAAGGGGTTGGGCGTAGGCAGCACAGGAGATAGCCCTTCCCTTCCCTGTCACCTCATGGCTGCTGGGCCCTTTAATTGCAGCCCGCAGATCAGCTGATCTAGCAAGGGCTGGGAGTTCTGTCTCTCTGGGCATCTTTGAAAGGAGGATTGGCAGGAAAATCCCCCCCGCCATCTCTAGCCTGTACTCACAGAAAAATTCTCCCCCCCCCCAAAAAAAAATCACACTTTGATTTTGCTTGAGATGCAGGAGAGGGAGAAAGATCGGAAGCAGGGTGCAGGGTGAGGAAACTCTTTCAGAAAGTGATATCCGAGTGAGGGGTGGATTTTCCTGCCAATCCTCCTTTCAAAGGGGAACCTTGCAGACACACATCCAAACTGCTCCCCCCGTGGCTTCGCCTCTACCTTGCAATCCTGCAAGGGGGACTTTTGCTCCGAAGCTACGGCAGAGCATTGCACTGGAAGGCCTCCACGGGTAAGATTGAGTTGTGTGTCTTGCTCCAGCGAGATGGGTGCAGGCTGGAGGCTTGGGGGCCAGAAAAGGTGGGGTTTTGGAGTGCAAAGGAAGAAGGGGCGATCGCCCCCCCCTCCATTCTGCAGTTGTAGATCTGGGCTGAGTTGCCTCGCGCCAGGCAGGAGCAGCCCAGAAGGGCTGCTGAGAGCAAGCAGCCAGGAGGGCAAAAAGCCCCTGCGAGGGCAGCAGCAACAGGTGCAGCAGGCCCAGCAGCTGGGTAGAGGAACCGATTTTGATGGGCCGTATGGCTTTCTGCCTCATTGTAGCAGCAGCCTGAGCAACACCTGAGATCCAGGCCTAGCGGAGCGCAAACCGTGCTTGCCGCCTGCTCCATAGCCACAAGGTAAGCTGTGGAAGAGTGGCCCCTTGGCTGCGAGGTTGCCTGGCGCAGTGGGAAGGGCTGGGACAAGCAAGAGTGTCTCCAGGCACCCAGAGATAGAACTCTGGACCCTTGCTGGATCAGCTGATCCACGGGCCGTGATCAAGGGGTCCAGCAGCCAAGAGGTGACTACGCTCGCAGCATCCTGCATCTCAAAAAAATTAAGACACCCCCAAAGAGAAAATGTACATGACAGGTTACTCTTCCCATTCATTTTGCTAACCAGCCCAACTCACTTTCAGAGCCATTAGCTAAGGTTCATAAAAGTTCACTCTTTAGAGGGAAAATGAAATTTAAACAAGGGCAAAGCTGCAGATTAGCAATATTTCCTTTGGGAAAATATCTGGATAGGAGGGTCTCCTATTCCTACTACAGAAAAAGGACATTTACAGCAAATCCATTGTTCTATTGACCTACAATGGAAGTAGGTATCCAACAGTGGAGCATATGAAAGCAATCCTAAATAGTAGAAGAATCTTAAGGCCTAGCTAGTGGGAGGAACCATTCTTTGCAGGATTGTTTAGCCAAAGGAGACTTCAAAAGAAGTATAAATATTTAACTTCTAGTAGTTGCAGTTGCAAATTATCTGTCATGGAGCTATACATGTGTGCAGTGCATAGACCAAAAATCTGCAAGTAATAATGTACCACAAAAATATAAAATCACAATATAAAGAAAGACATATCTAGGATAAAAACCTATGATATACAATAAAATCAAAATGTGCATATTCAATATTATTTTAACAGCTTCATAAGGTCTAAGTATTAGCACTTTAAAAATAGTTTGACAAACAATGTACAAACAGTGTGTAATACCACGCAGCCACCTTGCATGTATCTCCTAGAGGAATATTAAAAGTAATAGAGTTGATAGCACTTCATCTAGAATTAGACACGACCTCTCTGGAACATGACTGAACTCCATAGATAGGGTAAATAGCATAATACAGCAGGGTTAATGGCATGGAAACTCTGTAACCAGGGCTGTTTGTTTCAAGGACATACAGAGGTTGTCAATGAGTCTGAATTCAAAGGTTCTGGTCTGGTAGCCTTTTACAGCTACAGAACATCCATTTTGTTGGGTCATGCTTTTTCTAACAGTGACTCAATCTACAGCAAATGACGGGAGCTAATTTCAATGAAAACAAGACATAACCTCTGACACTATGCTGTAATCCAGCAATAAGGCTGGGGGACACAACTTTGAGGGGACACGACCTTGAGTTTTGAAAATCATCATGTGAAGGTAATGGCTATCGGTAAGGTTTTTCAACAAGAAATGGCTCTGAAACTTTAGAATTGGAATATATATTCCCTGCTTTTTAAGCTAGAGAATTTTGGGGGGGCCATAACCCTTTCAGAATTTTACAAGGCTAATATCTTAGCTAATATCCACTTTTGGCTAATATGACTTATATATGAGAGTATGAACTAGAGCAGTGTTTCTTAAAGTGTGGTCTGAGGACCCCCAGGAGTCTCCCAAGGCCTTCTCAGAAGTCCACAAATTCAAAATTTGCCAGACACTGAAGGTATGTTTGGTTTAATGAAAAGGAGGACTCAGGAGTGACATGATAGCAGTGTTCCAATATCTAAGGGGATGCTGCAAAGAAGAGGGGGTCAATCTATTCTCCAAAGCACCTGAAGACAGGACAAGACGCAATAGATGGAAACTAAACAAGGAGAGAAGCAACCTGGAATTAAGGAGCAATTTCCTGATGGTTAGAACAATCAGTGGAACGACTTGCTTCCAAAAGTTGTGGGCGCTCCAACACTTAAGGTGTTTAAGAAGAGATTGGACAACCATTTGAAATAGTATAGAGTTTTAACTTTTATATTATATGTATCTTAATTCTGTCCTTCGGGAGAAGGGCGGTATATAAATTAATTAATTAATTAATTAATTAAATAAATAAATAAATAAATAAGAGTCTTCTGCTTGAGCAGGGGGTTGGATTAAAAGACCTTGAAGGTCCCTTCCAACTCTGTTATTCTGTAATGTTTGCAAAAAAAATTAAAATACCACTCATTTTTTTCTCCATTATTTTTTTTTCCCTCATGAAAAGTATTTTTATGGCATGAATTAGAGGCACTTGAAGGATTCAAATATTGGCTGTCCAGAGAAGACAGACAACCAAGTTGAAAAGTTCAGGGAAAGGGAGACTTCTAATGGGATGGAAGCATCAGAAAAACTTTGGTAGCCTGATCAAGTTAGAGATCTGTGAGAATCCTCAACTCTATTCCCTTGATCCCTAGGTTCTTGTTAAATTTCTTAATTGGGTAAAGTCAATTTTCTAGTTGTATCTAAAATAGGATGTTCTTTTTCAGTTGCCATATTGTCTTTGAAAGAGAGGATATGGAACCCACAAAAACCCTCATACAGGGACAGAAAGTTTTTTTTTTTTTTTTGCTTTAATTTATATGCCGCCCTTCTCCGGAGACTCAGGGCGGCTTACAATGCGTTAAGCAATAGCCTTCATACTTTTGTATATTTATACAAAGTCAGCTTATTGCCCCCACAATCTGGGTCCTCATTTTATCTACCTTTGAAAGGATGGAAGGCTGAGTCAACCTTGAGCCTGATGAGATTTGAACTTGCAGTAATTGCAAGCAGCAGTTGTTAATAACAGTGCTTTAGTCCACTGTACTACCAGGCTCTTAATATCATAGTACCAGAGTTTTCTCCAGCAATTTGCTTTTTCTCCACTTGCAAGAAGTTATGAGTGGGTAACTGACCATGATGAGGGCGTTAAGTGGATGAAGCGAACAAAATTACCCGAGGGAAAAATGGGTCATTTAAAGCCATTCTGAATAGTTATCTGCCAAATATCAAGAGGAAATCTCCAAAGATTTTATTAACTGTATATATAACTATGTGTTTTTAATTTATATACGTGCATAAGTTACACATTAGAGTAAGCCTTAAAAGATTTCTTTCAGTAAACTAATTACAAACTTTTCTTTATATGTTGGACTGTACTAAATTGAACAAGGAATAAACCTTATACTGCTGACCCATCACTGCAAGTATTTTTTAGAAATAATATACTTTAAGAAGTGCTGGAATAGATTGCTACTAGACTCTTACCAGAACATCATTGCATATGTCCTGCAACTCAGCCTCAATCTTCTCACGATATTCTCTTCCCATCTGCTGTTTTTTCTCATTCCGTTCTGTCTTCTGTTCAATGCTGGAAATGACACGCCAAGAAGAACGACGAGCACCAACCACATTTTTGTAGGCAACAGATAGTAGGTTCCTTTCTTCATTGGATAGCTCATGACCCTGCTCAGTGACAGCCTTCATGGCAGCAGCCATATCATCATAGCGTTCTGCCTGCTCAGCCAACTTGGCCTTCTGTACAAGCTCACTTTTATCCATCGTTATTCCTAAAGAGTAGGAAAAATCTAAGTAGTATAAAATGTGTATTTCATATTCATGTCCCTCAAATCTATAGAAAAAATATTTTAATAGTAAAAGCAATGTATTTTTTTATGTCTGAGCCAAAAAATGAGAAGTTTGCTCTTCAATAGTGTGGAAATTACACTGAGAGGGGAGTTTCCCAGACAAGAAATAAAATTACAACAGACACCTACCACCAAGCTTGAAAAATGAAAATAAAATTGTCCATTAAATCATGGGAAATGAAAAAGGGAAAAGGATAAAAAATGACTGGATTTGAAACTGTCATCTCATATTGACAGACAACAGTCAAGTGCTTAAAATAATTTAATCCTAGTGTGCAATAAAAATCCATAGACAAAAAGGAACCAGACAAATAAGGATTTGTTTAAAAAAACATTGTGTAGTAGACCATCAATTTCTCTAATCATTACTTTTATACCCCATACATGTTTTTATCATAACCACATTTCCAAGAATTTTATTTCACTTCCAATTATTTGCTAGGATAATCAGATCCAGCATTATAGTTAAAAGAAGAGATTAGTGCCAGGTTGCTGTGAATTGGAATCTAACTAGGTTTCAAAAAAAACAGAGCACAAGATAACTAAAAAACAAACCTAATTAATAGCAGATACCCTACAATGACAGAATGACATGCCTTCTTTCTGTAAAGTAACCTTATGGACTCAACTTTATATGCAAGTGTTGGAAATACAGAACAGTCAGAAAAGCTGCCTGGATTTGTGTCCAAAGTATTAAAAGAAAATCAGAACCAGACTGAAATGCAGAAAGCCTTATATTATTCATATCCACCGTGACCTCTTCCAATTTCATATTAGATGCTATAGGAACAGGAAGTGGAATTTTTTACTAAAAGGTATATGTATATAAACAAACTATCAAAGCATTGCATTCTAAATTTGAAGATGGTATTAAAGATTCTATTTTTCTGTTCTACAATTACTGCAACGCTATGGGACTCACTATGCTATAAAAATATGATGAATAAAAGAATAAACAAACCTCCAACTTGTAACTCTCATTCTCAAGCATTTCCTAAATCTCTGCAAATACTTAAAAACCATTTCTATGAATCTCTTATAACTACAAATAAAAGAGACACAAAGATGGATATTGTTCTTAATACAATATTTTTTAGCAGCAGGAAGATAACTTTCAAAATTTTGTTTTGACAAGTAGCAGGAGCTCAGCAACAGAGCTCAATCTGAATCATGGACAATATTACTGTTGCTTCAAATCAATCACAACATTTTAAACTCTATTAACCCGAGATATTGAATTGTCTCATTGTTAGCCAAATTGTACTTGAAAAATAATTCATTGTCCGGTCTCAGCTTCCTGAAGTCACTATGCAGTTAGAGGATTCTCCAGAGCAGACTTAGACTACTTAGCAAATCTACTCAGCTAAATAATGCATGTAGTTTTTTTATGATTAGATATTGCTCACTTGAACAATCCTCCTCTGAAATAATCCATAAATACATATAACTTCTAATCCAACTTTTTGTTCCTCAATTTGTCATATAACTTGAATATCAAAGAATGAATGGAAGAAACTACTCCTCAGAAACTAGGCCAATTAAAAGAACATCTTAACATCAACTTCACCTGCATTTATATATGGAGCCGATGAATAAAGTGGCACTCAGAAATTTAATTAGGGAAGCCAAACAGGAAATGCTGTAACAATCAGTCACAGATATAACAGGTCATCAAAATTTAGGGATATCTCATAATAGAATGCAATGTATTTGCTACCAATTTTAGAGAAAAAATGGCAGCTAATAGATATCCCAATTGTCCTTTCTGCTCAATTGGGAGTACAAAACCAAAATATTATGTTTCTGGAAATAAGAATTTCCAGAAGGTTAAAGCTTGCTAGACAGAAGAAATAGTTAAGGAAATTAAGGCTTATCATTTCCCTTAAAGAAAACAAAGATGAATTGATTGTTCACAAGCATGGCTCTTCATGTCTATGGACATTCTCAGTCATCCAGGTCATGATTGTTCCAAAGGTGCTTTTTCAAAAGGCAACTAGATTTTGTTTTTCTTTGAAGACATTTCGCTTTTCATCAAAGAAACTGAACAAGCTTCTTGGATGAGAAGCGAAACATCTACAAAGAAAAACAAGTCCAGTCGCCTTTTGAAAAAGCATCTTTGGGACATGGCTCTTTGTATCTTATTCCAGGGTAATTACTTTGCTTCTGAATTATATAATGCATGAAATCAACTAGAGAAACAAAAAATAAACCATTCTATTATCAAAGGACAATTGCATATTTTCAAAATGGCAAATGTGACATATTACTTAAATTGTTTTTATTGTTATTGGTTGCTTAATGATTAAATTTGTGCCACTCTTCCTCAGGCAAAAACTATGATTAGGTGGTACCAACAGCCCCTGGCAAAAAGATATGAATGACCAGGTACAGTGTTGTTTGATCAAAAGGAATGAACTTAGTTGAGATTTTTAAAAAATGCTTAATTTCATGTTTTACAGGACTTCCGGCACTTATTAAACTTTATATTTTACTGTGATAATAGGCCTATGGCCAATATATTTATAACAGAATTTGTTATAAATTGTTGTAAGAATCTGGAGACAATACATTCCTTCAAAAGATGTGGTTTTTTTTTCATTAAGAAGCTACATGGGGCTAAATAAGTAAAGGAACAGTCTGAAAAATGGGAAAGTGTTTGGAAAGAACTCCAAACAATGACTCAAAACTTTGGTATTGCAACTGATTATAGGAGCTTTTGAAGATAAGTTAGAGTTTCAACTGTAAAAATATTATTTGTGGTATTTTATTGGCTGGGTTCACACAATTAAGCCATTATATAATCTGCTTGATTTTGGATTATCACACTACATCATTATATATTAAACAAATTATGTTAGAAACTAAATTGGAACGGGCATTAAGGTCCTTATATCCAACAACCAGATCAATACAAAAATCCAAATTAAGCATTCCAGACAACGCTCTCTAAACTATCTGAAAACATTCAATGGATCCCACTACCTATCTGCCTAAATGGTTCCACAATACTTTTAAAATGTTATGCTGCCAAACCTTTTAGATTTATGTCAGATTACAATTGCATAGAAATACAGTATAGTAAAATGGGGTGGGTTTTTTTTTTACAAATTTTAAGTTGTTTTAATTATGGATAATGAGATCCTTGTTAATTTTTAGATATTGAAGAAACAGACCCTAATTTTCTTAAGAACCAAATTCAACCCAAATTAATAAGCAAGACGAATATCTCTCCAACTGTCAGATATTACCATTAGAGTCACAGGTGCTAGAAATCAGTTATGAATTTTAGGAAATGTGTTTGCAACAAACAAGAAGAAAGAGAAAAGGGGGAAGAGAAAGAAAAGCTTTAAAAACAAATGACAAATTCCCTTTATAATTCAGGCACACAGACATGCTGATGCAAGACCAACAGCAGCATTGACAGATACTGCAGCTTATGTGATGCTCTCCCAATAGGCTGTATCAGCTGGTGGGGATTTTTCAGGGAATGCAACAGTAGTATATCCTTGGGGCCTATGTATTCCAACAGTGTGGCAATATGTCACTTGCTCTTTATGGAAGAGCAAGTTTTCACACACGTTTTGTGCCTTTTAATGACCATAAGCAAGTGAATAATTAGCTATAGTGAGAACTCATCTTACAAAATGGATAGTAGTCCACAATATTTTGTTAGCTTACAATGCCAGCATCAGCATCAAAACAAACATGTCTTTCTATATATAGTTTATTATGCTAATTGATAACTGCATGAACAAGTTATTAATTTCTCTTGGCAACCCTATGGTAGTAGTTTGACAATGTCTTCTTCCAGGATGCTTTCTGATCTTTAAGTCTTAACCTACAGCTCTAAGATTCTTTGGTAGTCTTCCATCCAGTACTAACCAGGGCCAACCCTGCTTGGTTCCTGAACATAGAAAAGACCAGCTTAAGTGCTAGCATCTCCCAAGACGCTCTTGATCAGTGTGTTTCTCAACCTTGGAAGCTTGAAGATGGGTGGACTTCAACTCCCAGAATCCCCCAGTCAGCACTGCTGGCTGGGGGATTCTGGGAGTTGAAGTCCATCCATCTTCAAGCTACCAAGGTTGAGAAACACTACTCTAGAGGATATGGGTTTTCATTTCAGATTACATAGAGTAAAGTGGAGGCTTCCCAAGGGAAAAGCTCAATCGCGATGATTTCCAAAGAAGAACAAAATTCTGGAGCAAGTGCAACCTTTAAAACCATGGCTCCCTCCTCAGATCTCCTCACTAGGATCTCTCATCCCCACAGATCCAATTGCTTTTATCATTCCAACCAGCTGGGAAAAGGGCCTCCCCCCCCCTTTGCTCCCAACCACGGATCCAGGCTCCCATTCCTTTTTTCCTAATGGATCCATACCCCAACCTTTCAGAATCCCCAAACGTTACAACGCCTGCAACCAATAACGTCTCCTGAGGATGCCACGCAAGATGCAGACTCAATTTCTTCAGGACGCCGAATTTGAAATATAAGATCAGCTCAAGAACACACGGGCGATACGAATAATTCTGGCTCCGGGTCTACCTCGGAGCCTAATTGTGCCTTTTAAGCCACCAGGGTTTTTTTTAAAGGAACCGGGATCCTATCACTCCAGGACACACACAAAGCGAATATTTATTTATTTTGTCAGATTTATATGCCGCCCTTTTCCCGCAGGACTCGGGGCGGCTCACAACAATAAGACAACCCGACAATAAATAAGAATTAAATAGTATTAAAACCAATTTAAAATCCCCAAATCAGGGAAGTTGGTGAAAGAGCCATGTCTTTAGTTCGGCGTGGAAGGTGCGGAGGTCGGGGGCTGTCCGGAGCTCGGTGGGCAACCCATTCCAGAGAGTCAGTGCGACCACAGAGAACGCCCTCATCCTGGGGACCTGTCTAGCCGAGGGGACCCGGAGGAGGGCAGCCCTATGTGAGCGCACTGGGCGGTGGGAGGCCGGTAGGAGGTGATCCTGCAGATACCCGGGGCCCAGGCCATGGGGCAGACAGAAAGGTTGCGTTGAAAGGAGAGGCCCGCCCTCCGCTTTCTTCTGCACCCGCAGCGTGGCCTCTCCCAGAAGCTCCGCCAAGAACGAAGAGCCCCGTCCTCCGGTTCGTTACGCACAGGTGAGCACGCCCATGGCCGGGTGTAGCAGCAGCAGCAGCCGCCGCAGGTGACTCAGCCAGGGCGTGGCGCTCCCAAGCTAGCTAGGTGACCCCTCCCCGAGAAGCCTCGCTCCAGCAGCGGAACAGGAGAGAAAGCAGCGCGCGAAGAGCAGGCGATTCCCTCCCTTCCCCTCCCCTCCCCTCCCCTCCATTCCATTCCATAAGGCGGTAGCCCGGGAGGCCCGGGGGGGGGGGGGGGAGACCGACCTCGCTTCAGCGTCTCGGCAAAGAGCGCATCTCAGAGCCCACCGGCGGGGTCAAATAGCCGGAACCGAGCAGGCCTCGGCTTCGCTCACCTCCCCTTCGGTTATTGACGGGGGGGGTGTTGGGGGAGGGCAGAGAACTCAGCGCCGACGTCGCTCAGCGCTGAGGGAGGGCCGGGGGAGGTGAGTGAGAGACTTTTGGCGGGACAACGCTCACCTGACGGGTTGCGACCGCGTCCAAAAAAACGAGAGGGACGTTCAGGCCTCGGATAGCGGGCGAAGCGAGCGGTGTCGGCGCGCGAGCCACCCCGCTTCCCTCTTTAACCACACTTAACACACACCCTGCGGCTCCTTGCGGCTCCTTCCGCCGCGGGGGTCACGCCTTTTCCGGCGCGGACACTCCTCTCCTTCCTCCCCGCCCCCTTTGCCTTGTCCCGCTAAGCCCATTGGGCGAACCGGACCGCGGAAAGGAGAGGCGAGGTGGCTCCGTAGTTAGGGGCAACGGGCATGTGCACGTGCAGGTCTGCGCTGTGGAAGTGGGGTGGGGGGGTGTAGTTCGAGGAGGGTGAGGGGGGAGACAGAGGAGATAGGCTTTTCCAACCAAGGGCCTCCCTCCTCCCGCTGGACAGCCAGGACCTCGGCCGCCGCAGGACTCTCATTCGTTTGGCACCGCCCTTACTTTGGTTCGGTCCAGCCCCCCTCCTTTCCGACCAGGTATAGGATTTTCTGAAAGACACTAAAGGAGAACCAAAGGGGCAAGAGGGGCGGGGGAGATGTGCGCTCCCCTTTTTTCCTTTCCCGATGGTAGCTTCTTCTTCCTGGCTGGGTTTGCAACTGCACCTCGCGGTCGATTCCAAACGGAACTGAAAGGTGGGGCTTGCGGAGATCCGGGGAGCGAAGATGGAAGACCGCCAGAGCGGCCACTAGAGGGCAGCAAAGGGAGCCAGAAAAACGCCAACCTCTTGCGTTCGTCTGGATTTTTGCAACCCAGAATTTTGTGGCTCTAGTTATTGATGCCACCTATTCTTTCCCGCGGCTGCTTGGAGATGTGTAAACCTCCAAAGCATTTTCCTCTCTCAAATGCAACTGTTTTTAAGAAGAGGCTGGACAGTCACTTGTCTGAAATGGTATAGGTTCTCCTGCTTGAGCAGGGGGCTGGACTAGAAGACCTCCAAGGCCCCTTCCAGCTCTGTTCTGATTCTGATTCAAACCCAGAATTTTGTGGCTCTAGTATTGATGCCACCTATTCTTTCCCGCTTCTATTCTTCCCCGCGGCTGCTTGGATGTGTAAACCTCCAAAGCAGTTTTTCTCTCACTCAAATGCAACTATTTTTAAGAAGAGGCTGGACTAGAAGACCTCCAAGGCCCCTTCCAGCTGTGTTCTGATTCTAATTCAAATATTCTGATTCTGATTTACTTTTCCACCTATAGCTCCATGGGATGGGGAAGTCTCTTTGGTGAAGCTTGCGTTCCGGGCCAGAGAGCTCCTGGAGAAGATGAAAGATGAGGAAGATTTTCCTTCTGTAGTATCTCTGATCCCAAAGGACAATTGGCTCCTCTCAAGCTCCTCAGCAAGCATATCAGTTTTGGGCCAAGCCCAGGCTAAGGGCATCTAGTTGAGGGAAGCAACCTACCAGTCACGGGCCGTAGTTCCTCATGGTTTCCAGTTGTGCTCTTGATGGCTTGATCCCTCTAGGCAGCCTGTAGTATGTAACTCACATAGAATTATGCCGAATTTTTAAAGACTATGGCTTAGCAAATATGCCATAATAAATAATGCTATTTGAACTCAAACCTTGGTGACAAATGGACACAGCTGGGCATTTTTTTAAGGCAATAGGAGAAAGGGTTTTGCAACGGTTGCCTTCTGGATTGTTACTTTGGGCTTGGGATTTCCTTGTAAGTGTCTATCTACGTACTAAATACTGTAGGTCTGACCCTGCTCGGCTTTTCAGGGTGAGGGCAAATCCACAGAACCTTGCTCCACAACTGACACTGCAGACACCACACCCACTGTGGACAGCTTTCGGCTCTCCATTCTGGGAATAGAAATGGAAAATTGAGATGGAGAAGAGGCAAGAGGACAATCCTGCCTTAAATTTACCAATTGCCTCAGTGACTATTAAGCATTGCATCATAATAACTATTGCATCATATCTTCCAAATGTTGTATTTCAGACTCATGGCCCATGGGCTGGATGCGTCACGCCCTGGCCTCGCCCATGCCTAGTTTAGCAAAGGGGGAGGAAAAAAATCCCAAAATGTCATGTGAGGCCACAGTGACGACGTGAGTTTGACACCCCTGTTCTATGGTTTATCTTGAGCTAATACACAAGTGGTGTAAGTGCTTAACTAAGACCCATGTTTAACCTGATGCTCCCTGGCTGGCTTTTCATCTGATTCACAGGGCTGTTGTGAAAACAGTTGGACTTGTGCCCTTATTCCCTAAATTCCTTTATAAAAAAGACAAGTTGATATTATATTAAAAATAAAGGGTGGATTTGCTTCTTTCTCCCTCTACTTTTAGTATGGCAGTTGTGGCCTAAATAGAAAAAGATTCCATATATCGGTCATTTCCTGTTATGCTAATAGGAGATCCCTCTTTTATGTTGTCAGATCTGTAGCCTAGTTCCTAGTAATCCGGGTGGGTAATATTTATGCTTCTGAAATATGATTGAGGCCAGATAAACCTTCATGTTAAGGGAGTGCCCTTTCCCAAGTAAAAGCTCCTTACTGGACAAAGACACATATTTTCATGATAAACATTGATGTGGGTGGAGAAAATGTATGCCTGGAGTAAATCTAGTTTGCTTAGACTTTCAGATAGAGTCCTTCTGCCAGTTCATTGCAGCAAATCATTACCCTGAAATGTGAAATAAATTGTGTTCTCCCTCTGCCTGACTCTACTCACCTAGAGGGAAATCTCACCTAGTACCTTATTTTGCCTCTGCCCATTCTAACTAATACAATATCATCCTTTTGTCCGGAAGAGAACAACAAGCAACTCCTCTGGATGGAACTGGATGTTTCAGCTGTGCTTGAGAGATTTACCCATCAGTTACAATTGGTCTGCCTATTTATTAACAGTCATGAAATTTCTTAGGACTGTGGAGCCATTGAAAAGGGAAAGATAGGTGAATGAAAAAGAGCTAGTATCAGGCTTTGGACATATTAAAATAATGCAGCAAAATAGGGGTGTCAGTATGGGGGTAAAAAAAAAACCAAGGTATTGGCCACACAGTCACACCACCTGTCTGCTCTAGATGAGTTCAAATTACTGGGACCTGATGGATTACATCCCAGAATTCTGAAGGAATTAGCAGACATGATCTTGGAATCACTGAATCATTTCTTTCAAAGATCCTTGAGCACCGGGGAACTACCAGAGGACTGGGAAAGAGTGGATATGGTTCCCATTTTCAAAAATCAGAAAAAACATCCAGGAAACTACAGATCAATTATCTTGACATCCATATTCGGGAAGATTTTGGAAAAGATAATCAAGCAACAGATCTGCGAATACCTAAAAGCAAGTAAAGTTATAATCAGATGCCAACATGGATTTGTCAAAAAAAAAAAAAAAGATCATGCCAAACAAATCTTACTTCATTCTATGACAAGGTGACTAAATTAATTGACCAGCGAAATGCTGTGAACATAATATACTTGGATTTCAGTAAAGCATTTGACAAAGTAAATCACAACCTACCTCTTGGTAAGTTAGAAAAATTTGGGATAGATAGCATCACCACCAGATGGATTTGTAGCTGGCTGACAAACCATACTCAACGAGTAGTCCTTAATGGAACTACATCCACATGGAGGGAATCAAGCAGTGTGTCAGGGTTCCAAGTAACACCCCCAATGAAAAAAGACTCCTCAAAGTTCCATTTTATTTGAGATGTCATATTGGTACATCTGAGAAAACCCAAATCTGAAAGCTTCCAGGTTTTCCCCACCCAAAAGAAAGTCCAAGTCCTTTCCCCTGCATCCACATGTCCATCACATGGTTTCTGTGGTCCGCCAGCAGCCTGTGGAGCTGGCAGCAGAGTTGGACAGCGATGAAGGTGAGGAAGAACATGGGCCAGTCCTGGAGGCTGGGGAAGGCCCGGATAAGGGCTCTGCATCAGAGGCAGAGATGGGGCGAGGGCCATCAGGGAGTGTGGTGCAGACTCCAGAGCCTCCAGAGACTGATAGGAGTGAGGCAGAGGAACAGGAGGAGCCTGTTCCTAATGCACGCATGAGAACAGCTGCCAGAAGGCAAGAGCAGCTCAAGCAAAGAGGACAACTCGGGAATAGGGCTAAGAGATGATTGGCCCCTCCCATAAGGCTTAAAACACCAGCAACGATGTTTGGGCTTTGCTGGAAAACAACGTTGGTAGCTTCGTCGTCTTCTTCGTCTATGTCTTGTATTTATTTTTGTATCTGTGACATCTGAACGTTTGCCAAGAAAGGCCTTTGGCAGTTTGCCTAACTGGACCAAGGTTTGAGATAGGACTGAGGAATTTGTGTTGGGAGGAATTTGCTTTAATTTAGTTGAATGACGCTGGGAATGAAGTAATTCTCAGCTGTTCGAATAAAGTTTGTTTTTCCATTGCCTGTTTTTTTTACTACTTACTTGGGCCTGGGTCACAACAATGGTCCAATCAACAGGAGATGCCTCCCCATCACGCCATTCCAGGTGGAGGCTGAATGTCCTTGACTCTCAGAGAAAGGAATGTCACTTTTCTGGAATGGTATAGGATCTCCTGCTTTAGTTCCTATACCTTGGAGAAGAAGACCTTGGAGAAGTAGGAGACCTTATAACATTTCAGACAAGTGGCTATCCGTCTTTTCTTAAAAGCCTCCAGTGATGGAGTACTCACAATCTCTGAAGGCAAAATTTAATTGTTCACACTGCAGATTGCAAACTGAATATGTTAGCTGCTGTGGTACAGTTGCGAAAAAAAAACATATAGCTTTAAGCAGGATCAGTGGACATACAGTTTCCAACTCATAGGATAAGTATTATTTCCACTTTATGTCCTACAGCTGTGATGGCAAACCTATGGCACACGTGCCGGAAGTAGCACACACAGCCATTTCTCTGGGCATACGAGCCATAGCATGTTGCTCTTTCCGGTTCTGGCATGCCAGCCAGCTGGTCTATACGCACGCGGGAGCACAGGAAACCAGAAGAGCAGGTGTGTGGTGTACATGCGTGTGTCAAGCAGCTGCTCTTCTGGTTTCCGGTGCATGCATGCGCACCAGTCACCTGGTCTTCCAGTTTCTGGCGCTCATGCATGTGTGAAGACCAGCTGGCTGGTGTGCATGCATGCACCAGAAATCGGAAGATCATCAGCACCGGGTGGCTGCTCTTCCGGTTTTCAGCACACATGCACACACACACTCCTGTTCAGCACTCTGTGTCGAAAAGGTTCACCAACACTCCTACAGTATTTGTGAGATTCAATGCAGGGATTGTATCTAGTCTAGTCTTTCAGGAAAACAGGCTCAGAGAAGGATTAGGAGGAAAATCGAGAGAATAAAAGCTAACTTTTATGAAACACCAAAGGAACTGAGAATGTTTAGCCTTGGAAGACTAAAGTGGGTGGATGGAATATTAGGATATTCTTGGTCAAGCTCTCTTCTCCATCACTGCGAAGTATAGAATGCAAAGTCATGGGTTCTATTACAGGAAGATGAATTATAGTTGAAGAAACTTTGCAAAAGAAGTTTGACAATGAAATCTTACCGAGAAAGGTAGTGAGCTCTCGTCTTTGATTGATCCTGTGATTTTTTAAAAAATTAATACCTTCCTACTAGGTGGTTCAGTGGCTAAGACTGTTGATCAGAAAGGTCGGCAGTTCAGCGGTTCGAATCCCTACAGGTCTGCATGAGCAGTGGGTTGTACTAAATCAGGGGTCTGCAACTGTAAACACTAAAAGAGCCATTTGGACCTTTTCCCACAGGAAAAAAAAAAACACCGGGAGCCACAAAACCCTTCCCATGCCTGACTATTTCTTGAGCGGTCACAAAACTAGCATATGTAGTAGAATTAAACATTCTGTTTTCTTCTGAAGCTTTTCTTTTCTTGGATTTATCCATGGTTGGCCTACCGAGGGTTGAAAAGCTCAATAAATCACATGCCAGCAGGTGTCGCTCATTGGCAGTGGTGACGCATATTTTGAATGACGGCCACAGCAGAGGGGTGTAAGAGCCACATGCGGCTCCAGAGCCACAGGTTGCTGACCCCTGGACTAGATGACCTCCAAGGTCACTTCCAACTCTGTTACTGTTAACTAAGAGAGGCTGCTTTGACAAGTGAGCTCTTATTATTTACTCTTGTGGAATTGTGAGATAACAAAACTTCACACTCTTACTCCAATTAGATAATTATTTCCCAGTTTTGTCTTAGGTAGGTGCCCCATACCCAGATCCTTAGCAATGTAACTAATTGTCATTAATATATGACTTTCCAATGGAAATGCATAAAATAAGCAACTGCTAGGGGTGGGAGAGAGAGAGAGTGGAAAGAGAGAGAGAGGGATTGATTGAGGTTTATTGAATGGCTATAAAACCTGCCCAGTGAAAGCAACCCCTTGGTGAATTGTTTCCATGAAAGACCATCCTTGCTGTTCAGGTTCACTGTGGTTGCCTGGGAGTGGACTTATTCCACACCTTAAATTTAAGGACTTTTTAAACAAATATTTATTTATTGTAAGCATCTTGGTATCTTCTTTGGGATTCACCTGTTTTGGTATCCAATCCATAAACAGGTTCCTTTCAGTGAAGTGTTCTAACAGAGGTTACACAACCATCAACTGAGATTTGTTCAGTTTAGATTCCTGAGCAAACGCCACTGATTCCTTGGCCTTTAAATTCTGTGCATCAGTATAATGTCCAATGTCACTTTCAGCCCATGGAATGGCATCTAACAGCAACAGAGGTGGAATTCAGCCGGTTCGGACCGGTTCGGGTCAACCGGTTGTGCCAATGATTAGTTGGCCCAGCCACCTGCCCCCACTCTATCCTGTCCTTTATTTCCTGCTTTGTAGCTCATCTCACACGGCACAGCTGATTCCCCTCCCCTGCTGTTCTACTTACCTTTTATGACTTGGAAGGTAAGCAGCTGAGCTTCTAAATGCTCCATTTTCACCGCTGCGCACAAGTGCCTTACGTATACACACACGCTAAGCATGCACTCACAGAACCAGTTGTTAAACTGGCAGCATTCCACCACTGAACAGCAAACACATTCCTCTTTTGATCACATTTCCATCCAGCTTTCCTCTGATTTCAGAAGCAACAGGGAAGATGAATGGAAGGGAAAGTTCTCTAGCACACAGAGAAAAGAAAACCTGGAAACCCTTACATTTTCTTTAATCTTGAAAAAAATGGTATAACTGC